TCTTAAAATTTCATGATCAATCCATCTGTGGACGAAGCAGAGTCTTTAAGACAAAACAAATTGCCAATGGACCAAAAACTATCAATCAAAACAGATCAGCAGCGCGCACACAGCCAAACGCAACATCAGCATGAAGGTTTAATGTCAAATAATCCGTGCAGAGACTTGCTTTACTTATTCAACTGATACACTCTCGTACTCTGAGCTGGTCGTGCAGCTTTGCCTGTTTGTCATGTCAATAGATAAACTTTAGGAGGAAAAAAGTCGCAGAATCTTGGAACGAAAATTGCGCATTTCAAGCACCGTCCTCGTGTTTTTGCTGTTCAGAGCAACGTGAAATAAACTGCGCGGAATACATTTCAAACCTGGAAACCTTTCTGACTGACATCAGAAAGACACGCGTGGATGGCCTAACAATTCACTGTGATAAGGACTGTTTAAGAATAAAAACCCACTAGTTCAAGAGAAGCCCAAATGCATTATTATTAATATTATTTTTATCTAATTTTATTTTCATGCATTATTTTAACGAACATGAGCCCCACAGAAAATACAACTGGAAGGCACAGTCCTGCCCCAGTAATCAATACTCAGAATAAATGTTACAATCGCATTAAAAAATATCAAAGATATTCCAGAAAATGTAATACTAATAATAATAATAATAATAATAATAATAATAATAATAATAATAATAATGATGATGATGATGAAGCCAACAATTTCTGCATTTTTTTCTGATAATTTCTTTAATAACTGGAAATGATTTTATGTTCTCAATAAGTAATTATTTAAAATTAAATAAATGAATAAATAAATGGCTGATCTGTCCAAGCAGAAAGAAAGCCATTTAAAAAAATATTTCATTATTAATATTATTGTTATTATTATTATAGACAGAGTATGTAAGCGTTTGTGTGCATTATTTTAAATAACTCTATAGCAACTCAAAGTTTCAAAGTTCCTGACATGTTGTTTTCTCTCATATCTTCCCAGGATAAACTCTGATAGGATGCTGTGCTGCAAGATGTGATGTCGCCCATTTAAAATAAATAAATAAATCCCAAACAGATGCATATATATTTCGCTTTATTCGATTTTTATTTAGCTTACAAGTGAAAGCTGATGAAAGCTGGTTGAATTTCAGCCCATAGTCCAGTAAAATGAGATGTTCCAATTTAATCATTGACTTAATGAAAAATAATTGTTTATTGTGTCGTGCGGACTCTTTTAACGATTTATAAAAATTCTTCAGGGAGAAAGGGAGATGTTCGGGCCGAAAAAGAGGGGACCCAAGCCTGAGACATTTCTTTTAAAGGTGAGTGTTTGTATTTATTTCTGGGTATTCCGTTTTATTCGCTTGTCTTTCCGAGGCGTGGCTTCATGTGCACAGGCTGAACCATTTCAGTGATGTGTGCACTCCTATAAACTTTGATGCCACTGTGTTGTGGTTTCACTTTTTTGAAAACAATTGTAAGTTTAAAAAAATGTCTCCAAAGATCTCTTTTCTCAAGGGTTTCTGGTCATGTAATGTTGGACAAAGAACTTTACATGACTTTACATGTGAATATTAACAGTATTTTCATTCTTACAGCCTTTCATTCCCTTTAAATCACAGAAACTTTAGGTCAAGGCCTCTAAAACTTTACATTTGCTCAAGAGACTTAAGATTTAGATAAGATAAGATAAGATAGAACTTTATTAATCCCTCGGGTGGGTTCCTCTGGGAAATTCGACTTCCAAAAAAAGCACAGCAACGACCGAAGTTACAGTTACAGAACTGTTATATATATATATATATATACACACACACACACACACACACACACACACACACACACACACACACACACACACACACACACACACACACATATATAAATACAGAGACAAATATAAATAAAATATACAAAGGGGATAAATAGAATAAATAGGAATAAAAAATAAAAATACAAGTGAATTGCACATTTCAAGTATTGAGTCTATTGCACTGTTGACTATTTACAAAAAGTATTGCACAAGGTATTGTACAGTGAGGTGCAGAGGCACTGCAGCTTAGTTGTTCCTCCCTCCTTTGATCTCCTGTTTCCCTTCCCTCTCCCCTCCAGACAGGAGGGGAAAAATTTTCATTTCTGGGAAACTTTTCGTCACAAATGTATTTCAGCTACTCTGCACTTCGGAAGAAAAATCCTTTTCTACTTGAACACTACACATAAAGTCGACGTGAAGCTTTATTTTTGCACCGTTTTTGTTAATAAAAAGCACAAGAAGGCCTTTTTTTTTTTGCTTCCTTAGGCAAAGCCAAAGAAAAGGGCCAGATTGCTGGATTGCGCACAGTGGATCCAGCAATCTGCCCGCCCAGCGCGGTCAACAGAGGGGGAGAGAGAGAGGACCCAACACAACTCCAGCAGCTGCTCTGACGTTCCAAGTGTCCCAGCAGTTCTAGAAAGAAAGAGAGGACGCAAACCCAATATGCACATGCATTATGATAAAGACGACGGCAGCAGCTCAGCAGAGCCAGACGCCAAACATAGCAAGCTCATGAGGGAGCCCACGTCTCACCACAGCCGACGCCCGCATCATCACGGGCAGACATCAGATCACTGCCGCATGCAGCTGACCAAGAGGTTTCAGGAGGAAACCACGATAACACCCAAATCCCACAGCGAGCAGAGACATTTGGGGGGCGCGGGCTTCTCTTACCCGTGCGCATTAGCTTCGGATTTGCGCAAAAGCGAGCAGGGGAGGCACATGACTCACTGTTTGAGCATGAAGCGGCCTGCAGCGAACGAGAACTCTCTACCCCGGGAACAAGCTTCACCTTCACACACCGATTCCATCCACGAAGCCTCCGAGCATCCAGCCTCATCCTGGACCCCCTGTTTCGCTCACCTGGACACTGTGACCGTAACCGATGTCACCTTGAACTTCCTGACAGTCACCGTCAGAGAGAGCAGCACGGACAAAGGCTTCTTCAAAGACAAAAAATGAGTATTTCATGTAGTTCAGAGGAGGCCAATACCTGCCAAGGAGGTAACTGTGTAACAAGCTACTAACAAACAGGCCTACTGTAATACTATATTTTTTCTATGTAACTTTCAAACGTGTACATACCGATATTTAATACGCTGCTGATGAAATTAAAATCAAACTGAAGTTTAAGGAGTGTTGTTGTTGCTGTTGTTGTTGCTCTTTGACTGTCAGCTCTCACTATTTCTTTTTGCACTGTTTGTTTATACTTGTAGAGTTTCTGTAGAGTTATCTGATCGCGATCTTTGTGGAACAATCTTTGCTGGCTAAAATTCATTCAGTTGGAACATTCTTTGACAGCGATGCCAAATACGATTTCTCGCTGGCTGACAGGTGGTTTTGGTTGAATTGTGATGAAGTTTTGTACGTGATTCAGCCCAATTTCTAGCTTTAGGTTTGCACCATCCTGCGTTCAACAAAACACCGCGATTTTAATTAAGATCAGAGGTTATTGTAATTGGGGTTTTTTTTAATTAGTTTGCCCATACATTACTCTGTTTATAGTAACCATTGTCCTTGATGTAAATATGTAAGAAAAACATTGTGTATGTTTCTGCTCTGTGTCCTGTGTACTGTTTGTTTGTATATGTGTCTTTCTGGTTGCTGTTACAACCAGATTTCCCCTTGTGGGACAATTAAAGGATTTTTCGATTCTATTCTATACTAATTGGTGGGAGTGTATTTTTATCCAAAAATAATGTAAATCTAATGTGTAATGTTTTATCATTCCTGACAAATAGGAAATGCACAGATTCATATTTAGAAGTGTCTCCAGAAAATTGTTTATCGCGACTTTATATTTTGCGTCAAGTCCTGATCTTAAAACGCTTATTTAAACATGTGAAAGCTGACAAAGTCTTTGTAAGCACTGATCTGTATGGGCGTGGAAAATGTTAGCAGATAAAATCTGATTATCCTTTAAATTTTACAATTTTGATTGGAAATTTCACTTGGACAGTTTTTTCTCCTCAAAGTTTCAAAGTCCCTGACATGTTGTTTCCTCTCACATCTTCCCAGGATAAACTCTGACAGGATGCTGCTGCTTGTGCGTTAATTTGCAGAACTTAAAATTAAATCGTAAATTTGCTCTTCATACTCTTTAGATCTTCTTGTAACAATCGTTTCCATAACTGTTGCCATTGAAATAGCAAATTAAAACAAACCGACTTTGTTTTATGTGCCAGAGATTTCTCTTCTGCCATAAAGATTTACACCAGTAGGTCCCGGAATTGCCGCTAAAAACAGACAATTTTAAAATTCGTATTTTTAAATAATATTTCTATTATCTATTATGTAATTTGAGCCATGCTGGCTGAATTATGGACACAGACAGTGAAAGTGTTTCAAGGACGGAGCAATGGGAACAAGTGGGAACAACCTTCTTTAGAGACTCGGCGTGTGAACACGACACTGCTTACATCTAACATTAAATTATGTTTTTATAATAAACAGGTCATTAAAAAAATTATTTAGATCTGTAGATCAGTTAAAACAGTAACCCGGGGTTACTCAGTACAAGCTTGATACGGTTTCATTTAATACATTTGCATCTGCATGTCATTATTATCATAATAATTATTAGCCTGTTATTTTAGCGCTGAGTAGTTCATGCTTCTGCTTTTTATAGACTTATATTTTGTGGATTTTTTACACCTTTATTTGAGCTTTTTAAGTATACAATCTTTCATTAAATAAAGGAGTTAGTCTTCCATCTTTGTTCGCGTTTCTTTTTTATTCTAGTGGAATTCAGCGTTTTCTTCTCGCCGTGTAGGGGAGGGCTCTTTGTACCCCCTCATGGACCTCTGGGGGGGTCAGTAGACCCGCTCCGAGACCCTCTGACTTTGCTTAGTCCACTGTGCCAGACATTCCTGTACAGCAGCCACAGCACAAGACTCCGCCCCATTCACTCAGAAATCCGGAGCACGTAGCAACAACTGAGCCAATGCGCTCCGCCACGATCCGTCCTACCGACCGCGGCGCCTGGCAACAGAAAAAGACGTGATGACGTCCTGTTGTGCGTATTATGGGATGTGCGGAATTAAACAACCCGAAGAGGACGAGGGGAAGCCAAAAATAATAAAAAACACAGAAATAAACGAGGTGCATGGTGAACCATGGAGCTCTCGGCTGTCGGTGAGAGCGTCTTCGCAGCCGAGTCCATCATTAAACGGCGAATCAGACGGGTATTCGCTGTTTTTTTTCCTCCACCCGCAGGCTGTGTCTCTGCGTCTCTAACGCAAACATGTGCGTTTGCAGTGTCGACACGTAGACATTTGATAACCTGACTCTGTTGTGGGTCTGTTTTTGCAGGGTCGTTGGGAATATCTCGTGAAATGGAAGGGTTGGTCTCAGAAGTGAGTATAATAACCGAAGCTGTGAAGGACAGCGCTCCATCCTGGCCGCTTGCACAACTGCACCATCACACAGTGTGGCGTTACTCAGCTTTGTGGATGTGTGGTTTGTTTTAAAAAAAAAAAAAAATGCATTTCACGCACTCGGTGTACGGCGGTGCCGTGTGCCGTGCGCCTGCTGGCTCGTGTGCACCTGGCAGGTGTTTGAACACATCTCGCTTTCAGCCCGCTGAGATGTGTTGAAGTCTACACTAGCTTTAGCAATGGCTGAGTTCACCATGCGTCACTGTCCTGCTACGTAGTCTGTAATTGCAGAGCGAGCAAAGCGAGATTGCTTTGATAAAAGTGTCAGGAGCGCGTGTTTTTGCGCATTGACAAATGAGCGTTTCTCAGTGTGTGTCTGTGTGTCGCCAAACACCTCTCCTCTCGGTTGTTGTGACGTAGGTACAGCACTTGGGAGCCGGAGGAAAACATTCTGGATGCACGTCTCTTCTCTGCCTTCGAAGAGAGGTGAGGGTTTGACAGTGAAACAAGTAGGCCTCTCTCTCCCTCTCCCTGCAGAATCGAGTTGGCACCGCGCATTTTGCAAAAGTGTCACTTTAAATAAAACATTTAGTCTGGGTTTAAATCTATGAGCCCCACATCCCCATTCCTGACAGGAAAGTGTCAGCAGAGCCACTTTAAGTAGCTGCAAGATGTGATGTCGCCCATTTAAAATAAATAAATAAATCCCAAACAGATGCATATATATTTCGCTTTATTCGATTTGTATTTAGCTTACAAGTGAAAGCTGATGGAAGCTGGTTGAATTTCAGCCCATAGTCCAGTAAAATGAGATGTTCCAATTTAATCATTGACTTAATGAAAAATAATTGTTTATTGTGTCGTGCGGACTCTTTTAACGATTTATAAAAATTCTTCAGGGAGCGAGAAAGGGAGATGTTCGGGCCGAAAAAGAGGGGACCCAAGCCTGAGACATTTCTTTTAAAGGTGAGTGTTTGTATTTATTTCTGGGTATTCCGTTTTATTCGCTTGTCTTTCCGAGGCGTGGCTTCATGTGTACACAGGCTGAATCATTTCAGTGATGTGTGCACTCCTATAAACTTTGATGCCACTGTGCTGTGGTTTCAGTTTTTTGAAAACAATTGTAAGTTTGAAAAAATGTCTCCAAAGATCTCTTTTCTCAAAGGTTTCTGGTCATGTAATGTTGGACAAAGAACTTTACATGACTTTACATGTGAATATTAACAGTATTTTCATTCTTACAGCCTTTCATTCCCTTTAAATCACAGAAACTTTAGGTCAAGGCCTCTAAAACTTTACATTTGCTCAAGAGACTTAAGATTTTCAATTCTGGGAAACTTTTCGTCATAAATGTAATTGGGTTTTTTTTTCTTCTCTTTTTTTTTTGCTTCCTCAGGCCAAAGCCAAAGCCAAAGAAAAGACGTATGAATTTAGAAGAGAGGCTCACAGAGGGATCCAGGTTTCCTATCCCATCCCCGAGCCTATCATAACACCGAGGGCCAGGGAGGGTTTGCGCACCGTGGTTCCCACAATCTTCCCGCCCAGCGCGGTCAACAGAGGGGAAAGTGTCCACATTCGCCCACCAGAGTTGGAGAGAAGACCCAGAACAACTCCAGCAGCTGCTCAGCAGTTCCCCAAAAAGAGAGGACGCAAACCCAAAATGCACATGCATTATGATAAAGACGACGGCAGCAGCTCAGCAGAGCCAGACGCCAAACGTAGCAAGTTCACGAATGAGCCCACGTCTCACCACAGCCGACGCCCGCATCATCACGGGGAGACGTCAGATCACTGCCTCATGCAGTTGACCAAGAGGTTTCAGGAGGAAACCACGATAACACCCAAATCCCACAGCGAGCAGAGACATTTGGGGGGCGCGGGCTTCTCTTACCCGTGCGCATTAGCTTCGGATTTGCGCAAAAGCGAGCAGGGGAGGCACAGGATTCACTGTTTGAGCATGAAGCGGCCTGCAGCGAACGAGAACTCTCTGCCCCGGGAACAAGCTTCACCTTCACACACCGATTCCATCCACGAATCCTCCGAGCATCCAGCCTCATCCTGGACCCCCTGTTTCGCTCACCTGGACACTGTGACCGTAACCGATGTCACCTTGAACTTCCTGACAGTCACCGTCAGAGAGAGCAGCACGGACAAAGGCTTCTTCAAAGATAAAAGATGAGTATTTCATGTAGTTCAGAGGAGGCCAATACCTGCCAAGGAGGTAACTGTGTAACAAGCTACTAACAAACAGGCCTACTGTAATACTATATTTTTTCTATGTAACTTTCAAACGTGTACATACCGATATTTAATACGCTGCTGATGAAATTAAAATCAAACTGAAGTTTAAGGAGTGTTGTTGTTGCTGTTGTTGCTCTTTGACTGTCCACCCGCTCTCACTATTTCTTTTTGCACTGTTTGTTTATACTTGCAGAGTTTCTGTAGAGTTATCTGATCGCGATCTTTGTGGAACAATCTTTGCTGGCTAAAATTCATTCAGTTGGAACATTCTTTGACAGCGATGCCAAATACGATTTCTCGCTGGCTGACAGGTGGTTTTGGTTGAATTGTGATGAAGTTTTGTACGTGATTCAGCCCAATTTCTAGCTTTAGGTTTGCACCATCCTGCGTTCAACAAAACACCGCGATTTTAATTAAGATCAGAGGTTATTGTAATTGGTTTTTTTTTTATTAATTTGCTCATATTAATTCGTGGGAGTGTATTATTATCCAAAAATAATGTAAATATAATGTATAATGTTTTATCATTCCTGACAAAGAGGAAATGCACAGATTCATATTTAGAAGTGTCTCCAGAAAATTGTTTATCTCGACTTTATATTTTGCGTCAAGTCCTGACCTTAAAACGCTTATTTAAACATGTGAAAGCTGACAAAGTCTTTGTAAGCACTGACCTGTGTGGGCATGGAAAATGTTGTTAGCAGATAAAATCTTTTTATCGTTTAAAAATAAACATTTTGATTGGAAATTTTGTCAAGGCAGCCAAACGGTGGAGCTTACGTTCCCAAGAACTTCACTACTGTGAAGGCCTGAGGTCACGCCGAAGAAATCATGAACTTCATCATTAGTTTTTACATTTAATTCAATAGAAAAAAATAGAAAAGGGTTTTAACTCGAGAGTAAAAAATGAACTGTGGAGCTTTAAAACCTAAGACCGAAAAAATAAAATAAATTTAAAAAAAAATCAAAGTTATAATCTTTGAATCTGTTTCTTTCTTTTTTGTAATTAATTATCTCAGTAGATGAGATCGCGTTTACGTTATGGACACAGAGAGGCCTTAACGCCACTGTCAGTCAGTCAGTGAGTGTTAGCGTTAACAGTTTGAATTTATTTAGTCAAATAAATAAAGAAATAAACGCAGTAAATGACACACATTTGTAATTAGTTTGAGTGATTTGTGGTTTGGACATAAAGCCTGCAGACATGACCACAGACACCGTGACCCCGTGCCCCGAATGCACATGAGCGATGAATACATTTCATTAAAAGTTAAATTAAAAAAATACAAAATGCACGAATTTAAAGCGATGGATTGATCGTGTAGATATTGTAGTTTTTATATTATTATTAATGATATGCAGCACCTTGGTTCGTTTGGCCTCCGGATCCAGTCTACACTGTAAGAGGTCACGCTTCACACACAAAGCCTCCATTCATTTTTGTTTTTGTTTTTGTTTTTTTTTGTTAGCTTTGTCTCTCTGTGAGCCGATCCTGGAAATTGACTCTTGCTTTTCTTTTTTTTTTTTAAAATTTGTTTGTTTATTTTTAACCTCTTTAACGTTTTCTAATGTTGAACTGAAGCTGCAAACAAGGTCATATTTAAATGGGAAACGGAAGTGCGGCGAACACTTCTATAATCGTATTTAAAATAACAGAAAAAGAACTTCACGATTTTAAAAAGGCGTATAGTAAACAGGGACTAAAAACTACCAAGCCTATTTTCACACTTGTAATGTCGGGTATGATTTGATTCCTCCATATTTGCGGCTTACAAGCAGCTGAGGCGACATCTGATGGGGGGGGACTGTCCCCATGACTGCTTCTACTCATTGTCAAAATCCCCTCCTGTCAGGGCGTTTTCGACAAACACGAAGCGCAAGCTCTCGGATCAGTTACGTTACTGTTACGTTCCGCACACGTCCACGAGATGTCGCTACCAGCGGGACTTTAAAGGGATGCCAACCTACTTAAACACAAAGACCCCGCAGGTTAAAAATTCAGAAGAGCTCCTCAGTGGATGAATTTTTGATGACAACTCAGTGACTCACTCCACTCTGTACCCAGCTGCAGAATTAGAGGCAGGAGGGGAGCAGCCTGCTCCTGCACTCGCTCTCTTTTGCAGAAGAAGCCCGCAGCAGGCTTTACTTTGCCTTCCAGATGTGGGGAGACCTTGCGGTGCATCATCCCGCCACTAGATGAAGCTCAAGTTCGGATGCATGTTTCCCTCCTCCTTTGCCTGCTCTTTCTGTTTGTAGATGGCCTGCCTCTAAAAGAATGTCTATACAGAGATCAGGCTTCTCTTAACGCAGTCGGGGATTTGAAATCAGACGTTTTTCCCCTCCCAGGAACTGTAACTTTTTTTTGAAAATGAAAGCAATTTTATGGCAAGCGACATTTTTGAAAGTTGAATGAATCAGATACAAAATACAACTTAAGAACTCCAGTAAAACTTAATAATACACCCTGAACACTTCGGGAGTGAATGAATTACAGTGCAGAAAAGCGCAAAGATGTTAACAGATGGCTGAGGGCCTTCAAACCGATTGTGTCTTTATAGAGCAAAGACAAAGAGCTGGCCGGCAGTACCCAACAACTGGATCGCTCCTAATTAGAGGTTGACAAAGAGAGGGGAGAGTGTGCTAACTGCTGTGTAGCGAGAGAGAAAGAGGGAGAGAAAGAGAGAGAGAGCACAGGAGCGATGCCCCCCCGCCCCAGTCCCCAGAGAGCAGCAGCAGAAAGCCTTCACTCTGTTTATTCACTGACAAACTCTCCAGCCATGCACTGCTACCAGCCTCTCTGGGGTTTTTTATCTTTGTGTGGGTGAGATGTTGCCAAATCTGATTATTTTGACGTGTTTTCTGGCTCTCCGCTGTGCAGCTGATTTGTGTAACTGGACTGGAAGGTAAGAACTCTGATTTCAGATGGGATTTTTCTTTTCTTTAAACGATTTTTTGAAAATACTGAGTGCAATGTTGCTCCTCGGGTAAAGATTGGGGAGAAGCTTTGATACTTTTCTTATGTAACTTATATTTTTTCAAACCGTTCGCTTTGTAGAACATTTACAATCCGTTAAGAGGATTAAAACAGGAGGCTTGGTAGATGAAAGAACATTAATGAATAATTCATATTTAAATCTGCGGATCTGATGGTCGGAATTTATGAACAGACTTTTTAAATTTAATGCAGAAGGGATAAACAAATAAGTTGGAATCTGGTCCATTTGAGTTTTTTGTTAGATTAATATGGTTGAATAATTTATTAAGGATCGAACCATTTAGTTTTTATTAGTAGTGATGACATCCATGCAGTATTTGATTTGGCATTTCCCCCCGAATCCAGCGGTTTTGCAGCTGGCGTGGATTCCAGGATTGTACTCCAGGTGCGATTACGCTGTACAAAGGGCTCGGTGAGGTGGGTCTACCCGGGTCAGGCCCTCAGAGTGGTCCTCGAGCCCAATCTGTCCTCCGCCCGGCACACCTCCATCTGCATCAAACCGTCTCCCTCCTTCGGCGGAGCCAGCGTGTTCATTGAGCGTGCCGGGCAGCTGGAGCTGCTGGTGACGGACAGCGGGCGGCCGGAGTATCAGGTGTTCTGCTTCCGGGCAGACGGACCTCACAAGCCCGTAATCTACCTCCAGGCCAGCCCTCAGAGTGATGGACCGCGGAACAGACGCACGGTGGGCTTCAAATACGAGCTGCTCACCAACAGGAGTGCTGCGCCAAACCTCGGCCCCAGCGGGCTGGAGAGTGAGTAGTAATCTTTTGGTTCGAGGACATTGAACCTAAATCAAAATTTGGCTTTAGGTCCCGATAAAGCACCATTATGAACGTATTAATATTTCTTATTTGCTAAAGCAAAATCATTTCAGTCAATATCGCAGTATTAATGTAAAGGCTCTGCTTTAAAGTCACGTTTGCACGTGTATATATATATATATATATACATATATATATACGTGTGTGTATATATATATATATATATATATATATATTTCTCATGGTTTCAGAGGTATGTACTGCTATAGTGACTTCAAAAGGCAGATTTGGATCTTCGAGGGAGACTTGCCTACCAGTCATAATTCCCAATTTGAAAAAAAAAGTGGTTATTGAATTATAGTCTTGCCTTGTGGACTGCAGCATGCAGCTGCTGGTCAGTCTAGTTGTCTGGTTTCCATCAAGGGACAAAGCAGATGGGACCGAGCAGACTGCATAGTGGCTGGAGGGCACCAGGCCAAGGGCCTGAATTGAGACTGCAAATACTTTGCAGATTCCACAAATGCCTTATCATTGTGCTTGTCTGTTTATTAGCATTTATCCATGTGTGCAGGCTGGTTTCAGTGTGGTGATGTCATTCTGTGCCGATAATAGACAGCTGCAGGTTTATCTTTTCTGTATTGCCAGTCTGGTGGAGTGTTTGACTCCTGCAGGCTCCTGCATTGGCACGGGGTCAGTCAATTAGGCAGATACAAAAGGAGTCAAACGTGGGGTCGAGACTAGCGTGGGTTTTTGATCTGGAGGTGGTGCGATGGGCAGAGGCTAGAAGCAGCATTCCTCTGGCCAAGCCATGGTTTCTTCAGTGTGTGATGTGAGAAGGGGGATGAATGGAGCCGGTATGTGGGTCAGATTTTAGGTCAGTGAAGTGTTGGCGAGGAGAAGTGACACCTTTCTGTCAGTCACTGTCAGCTATAGAGCTTTGAATCATGACGGTTAGGAGAGAAAAGAGAGCTAAGCAGGCCGAGCGAGGACGTGATTGACAGAGAGAATTGGGTAAGGCGAGAAACAACATAGCAGAACAAGCGGAAGATTACTCGATGCAGATGACTCGATAGTCACAAAGCTGCCCAGCAAAGAGCACATTTCTAATTTTGTGAAATGATTTTCTCCACCCACAGCATCCTGTCGACCCTGCAATGACACAGAACTTCTCATGGCTATCTGCAGCAGCGACTTTGGTGGGTATCTTACTCAGCGAGATGACAAGATGACACGTCTCTTGCTATTGTTCTTGTTCCCTCTGGCTTTTCCTGCAGCTGCATCATTGAATTTATCTTAATGACTCAGCAACAGTAAGATTTTCCTTGAAATATAATCTTGTACATCACACCACTGTCTAAAGGATCTCCTTTCTCCTGACTCCCTCATCCTGAACTGGTCGAGGCAGATGGCTGCCTTTCCCTGAACCTGGTTCTGCTGGAGGTTTCTTCCTGTTAAAAGGGAGTTTTTCCTTCCTATTGTCACCAATGCTTTCTAGGGAATTGCTGAGCTTTTTCTCTCTATTATTATAGGGTCATTATCTTACAATATAAAATGCCTTTATGTGACTGTTGTTGTTGTGATTTGGCTCTATATAAACAAAATTTAATTGAATTACAGCTGAATGCACTCTCCACCTGGCAACACTTCAAAACCCATCTCATGTTAGGCTGCATAATGGGACAACAGCAGTGCAGACAAACTCAAACAGATGTTGATGATCTGCTGAGTGAGGCTGTGACATTTTTTGTCTGTGCTTTTGTTTGTTCATTTTAAAGGGAGACTAAACTCTGCTTGAGTAGTTCTTCATATGTCCCAGTTCAAAAATAGTCCTCTGTCTTGTTACACTTAACCTTTGTTTAGCCCCCATCAAGCCAGCTTTTTCCCCTAATTAAGTGACCACTTTATCTGAAACATCCACTGGATGCGGCGTAAACACGTGGTTCTGCTTTCCTGTCTTTTTAAGTTGTTCGAGGCTACATCAAAAAGGTCACCCATGACTCTCGGCGTCAAATGTCCTCAGTGGAGGTATCAGCGCCGAGGGTGTACTGGCAGCGCAGTGGAGTGTTTGAGCAACATCTGGATCCACTGGTGTCATGTCAGTCCTGGCGTGGACACATCCACACACTCCTGCAGTGCCACGTCAAGCCCGGAGACGGAGAGTTTCTTTTCACTGGGTCGGAACACTTTGGGGAAGCTTGGTTAGGGTGTGCCCCGCGATACAAAGACTTCCTGTCTGTCTACCACAATGCCCGAACGGCACGCCAGAATTCCTGCGACTTTCCTTTAGACTGAGGAGGGGTGTGTGTGCGCGAGTCATCTTAGCAATACTGAGCTGAGAAGTCTAACCACCTCTGCACTGGCGCACTTCAGATCCTTGCTGTCACGTTCCACCAAGGTGGCACCAGCAGGGAAAAGCCGCTGAAATGCTGGTGATAAAAACTAATTTGGAGGAGGAGAATAGAGTTAACCAGCAGGGCCTCCTGCACTGCAGCTCAGAGAGGGCCGGCCTTTGTCTCTCTTCCATCAATGCCCTCAGTCCTGGGAGAATAAGGAGGGGTTGAGTTGCTGCTCTCTTTTTGTGCCTCTCCCTGCATTAACTGTTGTTCATTTTGCTGCCTCTCTGTGACAATTGCCCTATGAACTGAGGCAGGAGGGTGCACAGCCATTTATTATTGCCAGTTTGTTTTACTGAATAGGAGTGTACATATATACGACGTTTTATCACTTACAGCATTGTGAAATCATCTGTTTTGTGTTTACTCCTGTCTGTTGGATCCTGCACGAGGCAGTTCTTTTCTTTCTGATTCAGGATCGCAGTGCAGTGATCTTTTTTCTTGCAGCTGGAGATGTTTGCCGTAGATATTTTACTTTATTTCCTTTCTTTTTTTTCGGTTGGAGAGTGGATGAAATCTAGAAACAACTGAGACTCCGGATTGCTGAGCTTTAAATAAATCAAATATGTCTACACGTCTCCGTCGCTCTCATGTGCTCATTTTGCCATTTTAAAATAAATAACATAAATAATGTTATTCAGAAGAATGTTTTTTTGTAACAGATAAATCAACATTTCATTATTTACACAATCAATCCACAGATGGGGTTTTTTTTTTACACACTCTTTTAAACAGTTTGCACAGATGTTGTGGTCAGCTCATAACTGTGTCTGATGAAGTGTTGAGAAGTGCAATGAGCTCATGATCAATGAATAAAACAGACATTTCATGAGGCCCTCTGTTTAGACAGAATATGCTTTGGCCTCTTAAAAGGTGCCTTTGTGATGACTTAAATGACTTCCCACCCACTTTCTCATTGCATGCAGCATAATCTGTGTTTTTTTTTTTTTATATCTGTCTGCACAGAAGAGGATTTAGTGCCAAACTTCCCTTCAAGCTCATTTTTGTTTTCTTTCACTCTTTAATACATCTTTTCGCCCAGGAATCAGATTCTTATGATAATAGGATAACCCTTCCTCGAAGTGAATTACAGAATCTTAGCTGGCCACAACTCTGAGCAGACTGAATCGGGCGTTTCTTTTGAGCCGTGTGGCCTGTGCATCATGGCCCAAGAAGATGAATAGACAGATGTGAGGCCCCCTGAAGCCCGGGGATCCTCCCCTTCAGCCCCTCCCAGGAGAAGGGAACAATTAATTGACTTTTAAAGCAACTGCTTTCTGAGCCTATTCCACACTTCTCCTTGGCTGAGCAGGGCTCACAAATTGGTGTGTTGAACGTTTTATGAGGACTAAATAGCTGCCAATGAAAGTGTAAATGACTGTGTGGTGAATGGGGCACACACAATGGCCCTGCGGCGACTAGGCCTCTGGCAGACATAATGACCATTGTCACGGCTGCTGTCATCTAGAAACCATCAGGGCTCATGAATGCAAGAAGTCAGAGGAGAGGAGAGCCCTCTGTTTTCTTTAACTCCATAAATATTTTCTCTTCTTGCACATTTAGGCTCAGTTTCATATTCTAGTTTAGATTTTTCTCCATCATTCCTGTTAGTATTCATATTTGCTTCTGCCAAGGCACAGCAGCATATAGACCCAAAATGTGCTCATTTAGTAAAAGTTAATTTGTAATTACCTGTAGAAAATATAATTTGTTATGTGCATATTTTATTATAGTTCTAGCAGATGGGTAATATTTCTGGAGATCAGAGTTTTAGAAAAAAGCCCATTTTCTTCGCATGTGTCTCTGCAGAGATATCTGTGAGTATAAGAAGTGGATAAAGGTCTAAAAGTGCCTAATGTTGATGAATGGTCCACAAAAATGAAGGCTTCCACAAATGTTTTTTTTTAATCCTACGGAAGCACAGTTTGAAGTCTCCTCCTTCAGCTTTGTCCCAGGAGGCCACCATGTCAAATTTCCAAGCAAAATATAGTCTCTCTGCAGGCCTTTGAGACCACACTATTCTCATCTCTGGGAATTCCAGCAGGCTCTCATGGGGATCGAGCCTAGGAGGGCTCGGCCCGGAGCTGCTGCATGGTGCGCCGCCAGGAGTCCACCCAGACTGGGGGGTAATTGGTTTATCCCACCGCCTGGTCTGCTTTCCCATGTGGGCCACTGCTGTGGGGAGGCCCAGGGGTACAATATGGAAACAGCATGATACCCTCCAATGCCGAGCAGGCATTCACCGCTCCCGCTATAGAGACCTGGGACATGGGTAGCAGCAACACAAAGCTGAAGCAGAGATGTTTCTTCGCTCTGAAAAGATCGCTATTTGGTCTCCTTTTGAAAATGGGCAGCATTTGTGTTTGAAATAATCCAATTCTGACCAAAGCTTTAATAAAAAAAATACAAAGGGCATCAGTCTGAGAGCTTTTATAAAGTTGTGTCTTATTGCCATCATTCCAGCATCTGGTTGAACATTACTTTCTATCGCGCTCTTGGTAATTTGAAGCTGAAATAAAATTGCAGATACAGTCTAACACACAAATACCAACCTAATCTCCAGATAAACAACATGTTTTTCTTTGTATTTGAAGAAGAGGCTGGTGAACTGAGTTCCATCATCAGCTGTAACTCTGATTTGAAATTAAACCTACTGCAGTGTGAAGCGTTGTACTGTTTTGTCTCCAACACTGCCAGTGAGAGAATGCAAAAACTTTACACAAACACACACACCTTTACTAATGTGAAAGACGTCTAATTTTATTGTATAGGAAAGAAAAGTTGTTTTGCCCAGTCTCTGTCATCACATTTAGTGTTAGTCATAAAACTACCAGTGTTACTTGTTTGGCTTTTTTTTTACTCATAATGAACTTTCTACTTTTTTTTCTTGTGTCCTTTTTTGTTCTTTTCCTTTTGTCTTTGTCAGATTATCTGGCAATGATGCTTAACTGACTTTTTTTTCTATAAATATGTCGGCAAGAAGGCATATTTACAACATGCCCTGACATTGCGAGAGAGCACTCGCTAAGGTAAATGTGTAATGTATTTGCTGATTAGGTTTCTTTATTACCTTTTTTTCATGACAGGGGAAGATTAGGACAAAGCAGGGTGTAAGGGCACTGAATGCAGAGATGACGTATTACCTGAAAATGAAAAGTTCAGACTTGTCTGTTTTTCTTTCCCCCTGAAGGTCAAATTTCTTACGTGTCTTCTCAGAGCACAGTGTTTACCTTGGATCACTTAAGTTCACTTAAATTTCATGACACGGCACAGCTCAGTCATTCATTAAGATGAAAAAGTTCCTGTGTCACAGAGGAGAACTGAAGCTACTGTGCACATGGCAACAGGAAAAGCAACTCAAACAGTAATGCTGAGTAGTTTGCAGTTTCTTAAGGTTTCTTATAGTTTATTACAATTATTAGAACTATTTGTATTTATAGGATAGGTGTCAGCCTGCATGTCAGCAAAAGTGAGATGGAAAGAATACATGTGTGCGTGTGTGTGTGCGTGAAAGGCAGACAGTGAAGGTAAATGAGTTTAAATACCTGGAATCAACCATCCAAAGCAAAGACAGAAGAAAAGAGTGCAGGTAGGATGGTGATGATTTGTGAGGATGAATTGTGGTAGAAGGATAGTAGCAAAAGTGAAAGGGCAGGTTTACAAGAATAAACCCCACAGAATAATTAATTAAAGATAATTTAGTCCAGTAACTGATTTTAAAAAAGGTCATTTTCCCCACAGCAGTACATCACAGTTTATACATAGAAACTATTTATGGCACTAGTTGTTCTTTAACAGCAGATGACCACATTTAAAGTACCTTTAACAGAGTTTGACAAGTTTTCAGCTCAGGGCACACAGGAATGATTGCGTGCTTGCTGTAATTTATTGGGATCATATAGTCCCTACCAGTCATTGCTGTGACAAACAGGGTCTACAGTTCCCGTAAAATGATTGCTCCTCAAGCAGGAATGACCATCAACAGCCCTTCTAATATAATCAAGGTGGGGTGGTGCTAAGAGAGTTATGAGCTCTTTAACAAGGTTATACCTGGGAGAATTACAACCGCCTTGACTACCATTCATTCACATTAATCCCCCAACACCCAGACAGGCAGTCGTGCCCATATGAGTCTAATAATGAAACTGATCGGTGAAGAACTGCTGAACAAAGCCTTTGCGTGACAGGCACAAGGTGGCGGCAGATCACTCCGGAAAACTCTGTGCTGGTTGGTGACGAACTGATCTGAAATCAGACAGTTAGTCACAATCCGGGTGAGCAGTGACCCGGACTGATCCAGAAGCAGCGGTTAAAGTTGTATAATTTTCTGCTATTGTTAATTAATTCTTAATGGCTTTCACGTGCATCACAACCACGTTTTTAAAAAAATATATTTTGGCACCACACTACAATACATACTACTGCATTTATGAGTTTCTGTCACGTTTCTCTGATTTGTCATTACTTGACAATCACCCCCGATTTAAAACTCTGATATTTATTCTGAAGAATTCATCCCCACGTTAAAACATGTGACTTTGCAATGACCAAAGTCTTTTTTTTTTTCATGTTAAGGTATCACATGTCACCACGGGGCCCATGCGGCTTCCAGTGCGGGAAGTAAAAGCACTTCCTCCTTCCTATCACAGCTGTAGTAGAGAAATCAGCCAGTCTAACAGGAGCGCTGACATTCTTGGCAATGGGGACCCTGAAGGTCGTCCGCCGCTGTTTCTGCTCACTTCCCTGCGCGTCTTAACGGTAACGGCCGATGTCACCGGGTTCAACCAGGAAAACTGTTCAGTTTTTGTGACTAAAAGCGGTCGGAAGTCAGGTCTTGGTAGCACAATGGCTGCGACGTAGCGCAACTTTTTTTTTCTTTTTTTTTTTGGTGGATGATCGACAGCGTTCGTTGGTGCCGCAAACTTTTTACGGACTTGTAGGAAGAAGCTCACGAGACTTGCAACATGAAGAAGCAGTTTAATCGTATGAAGCAACTTGCCAACCAGACTGTTGGAAGGTAGGCTACATAACATTGTTGCAACGTGATGTCATACATTATTGTGTTAGGCCAGCGCTTCTAATTTATGTCTCCCTGTTGTCATCTGGCTGATTTTTATTGTGGGCGGTGTCGGAGGGGCTGACCACGATTTTGTGTGATTAAAAAAATCTGGAGAATTTCTAAAGGTTTAGATTGCAGTGAAATTGTGTCAGAAGCACACAAAGCTTGTCCAGATACCAGAACAATGTTTTGTTTGTTTGTTTGTTTGTTTCAAAAAATACAAGAAGTTTGAAAAGTAGATTTTCCAGATTTGGTTTAAAAGTATGTGGCTGTAACTTTGGGAAAACATTTAAATTTACTAGCATTAAGTAAGTGGATTCAATGGATAAATGGCTACAACAGATTTTTTTAAAATCCTTATTAATAACCTTATAATCAAATGTTCTTTTAGATTATACAATCTATTGAACATAAAACCAATTTTAGATGAGAACAAACGGCTCTCATCTAATCTGCTGTAACAGTTCATGTACTATCACAGCTATTGCCTTTAATAAATTAATGGCTCAAATGGAGGCAATGAAAGTATGTCTTATTTTAAATAGAGAAGCCCTGCTTAGGATGCATGTGATACTATCAAAACATACAAACCGCAAACAATAAAACAACAGTGGCAAATATTAATAAAGAGGCATCACTGTAAGGGATGGAGAGACTTAAATATATGCTAAATAGATAAATACAAATATTTCTATTTGCTCTCTATATTGCACTCTTTTAGTGTACTTGAAGGAGGCCTCGATTCTGAATTCACTTTTGTCATCAACACCTATTTAATTAAGTCTGTCAACAGTCCCCCTTGCCCTTCTGTGGACCCAAGAATGACCCCACCTTTTACTGCACTATGTACTCACATGTGCAGGTATATGTTCAGTTACAGGGTAGGATGTGCTCACACGCATGTTACCTGATGGGTGTTGATAGGGCAAACTACGTATACCATCCTTCTTCCTGCGTCTCTGATTCAGTGTCTCCATTTGTTGCTGTATTAATTAACCAGACTGCTGTCGATTAGTTTCCAAGTGATACCCTGCAGGTGCTGGCCTTGGATTCCTTGCATACATGACTCCACATGTTGTTTTGTAAGAGCAGTAAAACTCAACTGAGAAGGCAGGATGACAGCTTGCATACTGAAAGGCAAAATAGTTTGCTTGCCCACACCCACTCTGGATTACTGCTGGGCGAGTTTAACATGCAAGAAATCCTCGGGTGCCATTAATACCACAGCTTAAGTAAGAGTGGGTGGGAGCTAGAAAATAAACAAAAAAAAAAAAAATCACAGAAAGCACTCAAGTTAAATTAAGGTTAAATGTTACACCCCCCCCCCCCCCCCCCCCCCCCCCAGTCTTTATGCTACACATGATCACACATCATAATCCATCAAGTGAAGTTATAAAGGTCTAGATTAGATCTCTGTCTCGAGCTCGGGGGTAAAACAAAAAAAGGTTTTCCTGCTAATAAATGCTCCAAATACAATTTGACAGAATTGAAATTAAGCTGGCTGTGAAGATCTAGATCATAAACCAGTAAATCTGTGTCCACCCGCGTGAGAGTTTGTGATGATTTGTGGTTTTCTGTTTGGCCCAGGAAAGGCTGGACACACACACACACACAGGTTTTTAGTTTTTGTGGAGTAAGCATTTATGTAGCTGTTGACAGCAGAGGCATGGCAGGGTTCGGGCCGCCATGCAGCCACAAAGTCGTTTTTTATAAAAGAGGAAGCCAGATTTCATTTGCATGTGAATAATAAGAGGAAGCGATTCAATTTAGATGTAGTTGCATTGCGGTAGAAGATGGCAGGGTAGCGTGTTTTTATAGGACATGCTTACACAGTGTCCTTTACCAAAACTGAGTCAGTGAAACATGATATGATCCATCTTTGCAAGCAGCTTTTAAGATTTTGTGTGTTTGTTTTGGTCAGTTTTCCTACAGGTGCATGTTTTACAGTTACAGTTGTCCTTCACCTTTTTTTTTTTTTTTTTTTCCAAGGTCCGGCTCCAGCTGTCGGTTTTTTTAAGAACAGTAGCTTCTGGCTAGAGCCAAGCTGCACTCCACTCCAGTTCAATCGATTCTAATTCCGTGTTGATAGGAATCTAAAGATTGCTCATGCAGCTTTTTCCTTCAGAGACAAGCCTGTAAAGCCTGTATACCCATGTGGAGGTATTCTAGCTGCATTATGTTAATAAATGGCTTGTTTTCAGTTTCTGTTTACTTAATACATTGGAGTCACTGACTTGTATCCATTTGTCTATATTCTATTTTAAATCAGTTTCTTCTTTGTTTGGGTAAAACCATTTTGTAGCTAGGACATCTGATGCTGACTATGTGGAATAAATTGGCAAGAAAAATGCACACATTTGCGTAAATATCTTTGTGAAGACACTGACTGACCCTCACGCTAATCGTAACATAAATATAACATTAAAACCAGTTCTTCACCCTCAAGCAGGCCTTTAAAGAGATGAGATGTAAGGACTAACCAAAAGGTCCCCACTTTTTCAAAATGTCCTGACTGCATTGGTTTTAAATCTCAGACTGGTCCTCATTAGGATGCTTTGACAAGTACACCTTGAGGTGTGTCCCATCATCCAGACCCTAGAGATATTTAATTAAATGGAAAATGGAGAGGCATATATCAGGTACTTTTTCTGGTCTTATTGAGCACATTCACTCACACAGCTTCATTCTAGAGTCACTGCTTTGCAAGACGGTCCTGGGCATTACCATAGACTAATCTTCCTACACAAGCACAGGGAGAACGTGCAAACTTCTCACAAGAAGGGCTTACTCGGGTTTGAACTCAGGACTCTTCTGCTGTGATCCACTGTAATGCCTCACATTTTAATCTTCCACAGACTCTCGCACTAATATCTGAGAGACTGCATATGGAGTACTGAACAGCATAATTAGCAGCTCAGAGTAAAAGTTGTCTTCAGAATCATTCAAAAAATTACTTATTCATTTTATGCTTTGCAAAGTTTTACCAATGTGAATTGGTCTTATTTGTGATCTGAGCTCGAGACAGCAGACAGCCACCACAAGCAGTTTCGCTAAACAGTGAGAGTATTTCAGGCATGAGTGAGGTAAGCTTGTACTGCATTTTGAGAGTGTAATGTGAAAATCTTATTTTTGTGTCCCACGTCAGTATTGGGTAATAATTCTTGCATGTGAGCGGATTATTTTATCCCCTGCAAGGTGTAAATCTACTGTGTGTTTCTTGGCTGGTGCTGTTAGAGGGTGGGGACAGGCCTTCAGAGATTTGTGCATAAATACACAACATCTGTGTATGTGTTGATGGATTTATTGACGGGGAAACCAATCACTCCTTTGACAATCTCACCAGCTGAGCGTAAATCAAATGGCTAAAGAACAGTTGCTGATGTTTAAAGGGTTTGGCTTTTTGTCAGCATTTCCTAGAAATGTGGGAGAGCTGTTGTGCCATAATATTTTCCACAGACTCTACGACAGTTCAGCATGTATTTGGTGTGTTTCAGAAATCAACAGGCCACCTGGCAACTTCCTCCTCACTTCATAGAAAAAGGCACACCTTTACGTGTTGCCATAACAAACACGGTGCAGATGACACCTGGGGAAGTGTGTTTTTTAGACCAGGAGGGGGATCAGCATTACATTTATGCATCGATGTTCAACATGGTTGTACAAATCCAGTTCAGTTTTAATTTGTATAGTGCTAATTTACAAAAACAATCCAGTCAAGGTGGTTTTATAGTGCAACGTAAAGACCCTACAATCACACAACCTTCTATGAACAAACTCTTGGTGACAGTGGGAAGGAAGAACTCTCTTTTAACTAGAAGAAACCTCCAGCAGAACCAGGCTCGGGGAGGGGCTGCCATCCACTGCCTGGGGGTACCAATAGTAGCAAATAAGTATATCATTATAACAACTGATTGTAGATTTCAGCTTATTCTGTTCACTTACTGCAGGCATACAGCACAGAGTGCAAACTGCAGACTGGTTGTGCTGGAGATTGTGCTCAACTTTGGTGGTCTGTAGAGTCCCAGAGTTTATTTAGCAATAGAGAGCTGTACACAAAAAGCAATAAATGCACTATACATAAATAAGTACAAGTGCATATAATGTCAGCATCACTAGTCTCATATTTCACCAAAACCACCAGGAGAAAAAGGAGAGGAAAAACCCAAGCTCAGCTGATAACAGGCCAGTCAGGTTAACATGCCTGCAATGACACTGCGTGAAGGAGGTACACCTGTTTTTACTACAGTGAAGCCTGAGGAAAAAATGAAGGCAATGCCGGATAGTCGTAAAATGCAATAATAACTCTCTTGTGCAAGCTTTTCGTGTCTCACCTGTATTGCTGTAGGACACGGGTGTGTTCTGTATGTCCTCAGTCTTTGACCACTGGCCTTTGTTTCTCTTCACAGGGCTGAAAAAACTGAGGTCCTGAGCGATGACCTCCTGCAGGTAAATCTTATCTTCTCTTATTTAAAGGGACTTTACGTCCAATAGTTTTTATTATCTTTAAAAAATTCCATTTGGCAGTCTAATGAGGGGTGGGCAGGTGATAAGCATTTATCCTCAAATGTGAACAATGCTGTTTTTAATGGTGGTAACCGGGTAGAAGAATAATAAATACAAAGTCTAAATGTCATAGAAAGTTTTCTCACATCTGTGGTTTAAGAGACCTATATACTGGTGCAGCTGCTTATTTCAGCAAACTCAAGTTTATGCACATGTACAAAAACACCTTCAGGATGTGACACGACTGAATGCTTTTTTTTAGTCCATCAGTTAAATGGCTACCAAGCAGAGTTATAATAGTTTTGTATTTTCTTATTAGTTTTTTTTCTAGTTTTCATTTTCATCAGTTTGAAAATGTTTAGTTTTACTTTAATTTTTATTAGTTTTAGTGTTGATCCATAATGTGCTATAGTACTGTAAACATCCAGAGTCTAAATGATTATGTTTTCACATCTAGTTTAAATTTTTAGTTTAGTTATATGTAACTATAGTAACCTTGCTGCCAAGCCTACCTGAAAGTCAATGCAACCTTCTTTATTTAGAAAAAATGTAACAGTGCTTAAATGCAGTGAATTTGTCTGCATGATGTTTCATAGGCAACATTAACTCAACCACTCATTACGCCCAAGCTATGCAGAAAATCATCTCAACACACAAAACGTCAAACCTTGAAACAAATGGGCTACAGCAGCAAACCACACTTGTGTGCCGCTCCTCCTATGAGCTAACTGAAACTGAGGCTCTATCCATCCTGCCTTGTATTAACAGTTCAGGCTCCTGGTGATGGTGTAATGGTGTGGAGGATATTTTCTTGGCACGCTTTGAGTCCATATGCGTAACACCATAGCGTATCCATGTCCTGTTGGCTGCTTCCAGCAGGATAACAGCAGGATAGCTGTGTCACAAAGCTTAAATCATCTAGTTTCTTATACATGACAATGAATTATGCAGTCACCAGATCTCAATTCAATAAAGCACCTTTGGGATGTGGTGAAACAGGAGATTCGCATCATTGATTTACATGTGACAAAACTGTGTGATGCTATCATGTAAATATGGAACAAAATCTCTCAGAAATGTTTCCAGCCCCTAGTTAAACGTATACCATGAAGAATAAATGTCATTCTGAAGGCAGTTTCTTAATATGACTTCACATTTAATTTTCCTCAAATCTGTTAGTCCAGTAAACTCCAGGGCCTCACTGGACTTTATTGTTGAACCCCTATAACAGTTCAGGTTTTTCCCACAGCACACGATAAAATATGTTTACACTGGGACTGGGTATCTGCCACCTATGAAAGATGTCCTGTTCACTGCCTAACCATAGCTTATTTTATGTCTGCATGTAAAACTGGCTTGTTTAGATATAATTTTCTGGTAGAGTAAAATACGGAAGTTATCAGAAGACTTACAAGCTCCTCGCAAAAGTTCTGTTAAAGCAATCGTGCCTTTGCGCCTTGTTGATGCCAAATCTGTATGCAATCTCGGAGTATAACTGCTGCCATTAAAACTTTACTGGCTAGTCTTTCATTCAGCATTGCCTAGCCAGCTCAAGGGTTTGGCACAGCAGAAGCGCCTTATGGTTTTCCACTCAAGGCAAGCTCTGGCGATTCTCTGTTATCTTGAAATTATACTTGATGTCCACTGTAGCGCTGTGTGGCGGAGGGGGATGGGGAAGCTCTGGCTAGTGAAACTGTGAGATCACTGTTGGGAAAATGGTGTGAATAAATATGACAAACTGAGAGGAATAAATCATGTTCAGGGAAGAAAGCAACTTTTGTGGAAGAAGGTAAAGATGAAGGCTTGATGGGGGAAAAGACTCACCAACCCCCATTCAGTCAAGGAAGTCATAGTTCTATGATAGCAGCTGACCGCTGAACCCCATTCACACAAAGTAGTGCATAAGACGCATTTCTGATTGATCATCAACCTGCGACCTAGGGTGCCCTGTGCACTCATAGAACTCACTTATGATGGAAGATGGTGTTTTTGTTATGGATAAACCATGATTGGCAAAGACATCAAATAACAGAGTGACAGGAGCTTTCTGTTGGGAATTCCTTAAGCTCCGGCTCTCAGTAAGGAATGTAATTGGCAAACGACGAGCATAGTGGAAAACTCATGTCAGAATCTGTTCTTTTTTGCAAATAACGAAGACCTCGTATACACGCAAAGAATCTGTTTTCAGATTTGCTGCCTGTTTAGTCATCTCCATACAGTGTGTAGCTGCTGCACTACTGATTCACATAGCAGTGAATCAGTATCGCCATTGTAATTTAATCACACTGCCTGGAAAAGTTTTATTTTTTTCCCCTCTTTCCAAACATGAACAGAGAGAGAATAAGTTTTCCTTTCCCCCTCCCCACACTCTTCCACAATTGCCTTCCCTGAGAAGTTCAAATTGAAATTTGACTCTATATGACTTCTAGTCTTTTCCATTTTTCCATAGTCGTTTGCATTGGCTAAGGCATTCATCTTGTTTGGACACGTCCTGCTTCAGAGGGGGAGTTGAGGCGGCTGTCAGACTGGATTGTATCTCTGCTGCCTGATCTCACACTAGTGAGCAAGGCTAGAGCTGGACCCATGCCTAAGTACCAAATTGATATGAGGGCATGATGGACTGATAATTGATAATGTGTAACAAGCAAGTGGCTACCAGTGAAACGGCTGGTGAGGAAAAACAAAACTCAGGAGTCTCTGTAGAGAGTTCTCCAGCCGGTTGTCTTATCTTGGGATAAAAAAAAACAACTAAATTTTAAACAACTCCTTTACTATTTCATCACAAGCTAAATGCTGGAGGAAAACTGTCTTACCACTTTGTCATATTTCCAGTCTAATGTAAACAAAACCAGTTACTTACAGACACATTTAAAGGACAGACACGTTTTTCTCACACAACTTGTGAGACTACTCCTTTCAGTCAAACATGACACTTTGTTTTGTTTTTGCATTAAAGTCTCAATTCGGCTCAGTCATCGGCCCGTCGAATAGTAAACCGGCCTGCCAACAAGGTCAGCCACAGCGTCACCTGCCAGCCGGCAGTTAACCAGCCATTCAGTCCAATCCAGAAAACATGACTGCATCCTGTGTGACTCACTAAATGTTCCATGTTTTATTTTATTTTTTTTGTTATGGAAGGTCAGAGGTTGTCAGCTCTCTCTATTCTGATTTCATTGCTGTTTAGGGGGGAAAAGTTGGCAAGTAGACTGTAGGACTGTAAACCTTTGGACAGCAAGTAACTGGAGAGTGGAAGTGCTCATTTCTGTTGTGTTAATTGTCTGTGTGTGGGCTTGTTTCTGCCTATGATCAGGGAGTGTTCCTATCTTTTTTTTTTTTTTTTTTTTTCCCAACTCTTATACTTGGAATCTCTCTGTTTCCTTAATGGTGGCTCTTCCTGATGATCCTACAAGTTTAAACCCTGAGACAAACTTATTAGATTTTGTTACCACACCATTTATTATTTTAATACGGTTCCAGCCCGCACATAGCTTGTCTCTGCTGTATTACCACTATAAAGAGTTAAAGATATGCACATCTCATTTATTTATAAAAAGACTTCAGAGGGCTGTATGAAAACACTTTGTCCCCCTTTGTAATTCCAACAATTCCAACTTTACCACTTGATGACTTAGGCATGCTACTGAAACCTCCATTTAATTCCAATATACTGTGTAAGTCAATTTGCAACCCACCACCATCATATCTGAATTAATAAATCCCATATCTGCTGTCCTTGATGCCTTTTCTGTGCTGTAGGGAATCTTAGCAACTTCCTCTCATATTCTCTCAGTTCTGATTAGAGATGGACCAATCCAATATTACGTATCGGTATCGGTCCGATACTGACGTAAATTACTGGATCGGATATCGGAGAGAAATAAAAAAATGTAATCCAATCCATTAAATATCAAAAAGCACCTCACAAAACTTGCGACATGGCATAACTCGGCTCATAACCGTAGCACGTTGCAGCAGTATGCGTCACGTGATAGAGCGGCTGTGTGTATTTGTAGCCTCTCTAGCAATGCGGCATTTCATCTCCGAGGAAGTTATCCCAGAGAGAAGTAAAGCAAGTGTGTAAGTTCATCTCTGAATGTTTGTAAAGCATTCCCACGTTAAGCTTAACAACCGATATATGGAGGAGTGCCTCTTCTCCCTCCCTCTCCTGCTGCTACTTCAATCATGAAACTGATCAATGATCAGCTGATCGGCTTTTCTGTCGCGAGTCCGTCTCTCTTGTTTGTTTATCGCCCACTTCGTGCCAGAAAAAGGAAACCAGCGGCTTAACAACATCAGCACGTTTAACCTTGATAACCTTGTTAGAATTTATTTAATATTACTTTCTACAGCAGGATCCTTTTCTACGTAGCTCACGGCTGGTAACTGTGCAGGGGCGGATCTAGCAAAGTTTAGCCGAATCTTACACCCAAAGTTTTAATCTGATGTAAAATGTATAGAAGTCCATTACTGTATATAGTAACTATTAAGTCTAATATACCCTAGTAAGCTATAGTACTTTATCCTTTGGGAACGTACGATCTGTGCAGTCTGCAATTCTGTTGAAGAAAGATATTGAATCTATTTAATTATTCTTGAAAAATAATTAATTTCTGTGCATTTTCCCCCCCAACCTGCATCAAATTAAAGTTGATTACGTCAACTACGTCAATTAAGCAACATGAGGTGGAGGGTGGGTGGTTCCCTATATTATTATTATTTTATTTTATTTTTTTCTTTGCTAGGAGTTTTAGAACCCTATTGTTTAGGTTGCTTACTCTTTAAAATACCAGAATAGGAAGGACTGAGTAGGTTTAAGTTTATTAGATTGATCAGTATTGCTGAACTATGAAATATTTTGGGTGCAGTGTATTTTTTGCATACAGGTATAACAGAATAGCTTTAGTGTTTTTTGGGGGTTTTGTTTAACTTGAGTATGAACTTTTGCAAAAAGCAGCAAGATATTAAAAAACACAGTTTTAGTGATTAAAAAACACACTATATCGGATTCATATCGGTATCGGACATAAAAAAAAAAGTGGTATTCTGCCATCTCTAGTTCTGATCAAGCAAAAGAAAAGTTTGTGGGGTTTTTGTGAAAAAACACTTTGCAGTTTATGACAAAGTATTTTATAGACAAGCTTGTAGAATATCTTGAAGTCTGTCCCCAGTTTATTTTGGTGTGCTCTCACAAAAAAGAAGTCAATAAATAGAACCAAATGCTCTAATAACACTAGTACTGTGATTATCCAGTCTTTTCAGTCCACAATACCGCCCACTTTGCAGTCACTCAGGTCTTTTTCTTCCTTTCTGGCCAAAAGTGTTGGAAGTCTGGATGCAATTGAACTGGAATCAGCTGAATAGTGAGTGAATCAATTGGATCCAGGCAAGGAAGCCAAGTCCAGATGTGGTTTGGCATGCTGCAACAGCTGCAGGAAAGGAGGAGCAGAGTAAAGGGAGGGTGGAGTAAAGCTGTATGAGTGTATGGGAGAGACTCAAACAGGGCAAGGAGATCAGTGAATTTGGGAGGATGAAAACGAAGGAAGAAGATGGGATCAGACAGCAAATGAGCAGCTCTCAGATCTAGCGCTGCAGTTAAATGTTTATACTGAAACAGGAAGAGGAAGTGGATACTTATGGCAGACCATGTTGGTGATTATGCAAGCTTCAGCAGATTATTTTTTTACTTCACATAACTGCTGATCATTTACAGAGTAAATTCTCTCTATAATTGCCATCTTTAGCAGACTTTTCAAACCCACATCTGGAAGAGTCAGGAACTAAAAACTCAGCAGAGCACAGTAATTCTCACAACGTCACTATAGGTACCTGAAACTCTGCACTGGTGGTGCATTTGAGGACAGTCTGACAGAGAGTTATTGGGCCAGTTATCTATACCAAGATTTGTAAAGTTCTCCTTTTATGTTTGTTAATCACTAATAATAGTAATTGTAATAGTAACTGTAATAATAAAATTGTATCCACTACAAGTTTCTAAGCAGATTTTCCAGAAAATGTATTTAATGCAAATGTGTATTTGTCTGTGGGAGATTTACGTCCTAACCTCTACACGGGGGATACCAAGGCGTTCCCAAGCCAACCGAGAGATGTAATCTCTCCGCTGTGTCCTGGTTCTTCCCAGTGGGACATGCCTGGAACACCTCACCCAGGAGACATCCTGGTCAGATGCCTGAACTACTTTAGCTGTCTCCTTTTCTACTCTGAACTTCTCACCTCATCTATAAAGCTTTATTTAGACTTCTGTGGGAAATTTGCGTCCTAACTTGTGTAGTAACAAAAAACTCCTTTTATCCCCACACGGCAACATTCCACGCAACCCAAGTGTTTTGTGGAGTGTGTCGAGCCGATGCGTAGTCACAGTTCTCGGGATGGGCACATAAGGTTACTTAGAAGGTTGTGGCGTAGGGCTAAAATGGGGTTCTGGTTGTGGTGTAAGTTTCGACATAGATCTGGCGCAGAAATATAATTCGCAAGTTGGAGTGAGCCCGGCCACCCTTCAGTGGAAACTCATTTCCGCCACTTGTATCCACAATCAAGTAAGATTCTTGGTCATTTCCCAGAGTATGTGACAATAGGTGAAGGTGTGAACATTGATCGACCAATAAATCAGCTGGGACTCTCTCTTCACCACAACAGACAGGTACGGCATCTGTATCACTGCAACTGAACAAGTCTTAACAGGACCCCAAGATAAATAAACTCCTCCACTTGGAGCGATCACTCTATCCTTTGCCAGCTGAGAACCAACAGACTTGGAGGCGCTAATTTGCATCCCATCTGGTTCACACTCGATCACAGGCCGCCCCATTTTTAGACTCGAGGTCATCGCTCAGTAACGCTGACAAGACCAAAACCAAATACTAATAGGAAAAAGGCACAAGAAAATATACAGCATAAGAAAATATACAGCATAAGAAAATCTAGCGTATCATATTTGGGTCTTGCCACGCCCAAATACAACTTCAAAAGTGTATTTTTTTTGTAAGGTCTTCACCAAGTGACCTGACAGCCTCGATACCCACAAACCACAGTCTCCATCAGCCCATCGATATAAAGTGTCTGGCTACAGAGGAACTCTCAACCTGATTTGTGGGACATGATAGTTTTTTCTTGGTGACTCAGTTACCAAAGGCCACAGTCCCACCCTGGTGCTGGAAAAATGAAGCAATAAAATACAAGATTACTGTCAACTCAAAGTGTAAATATGTGTTGGTTATCCTGCTATGTTCTTTGTAGTTGCAGATCACTGTTGTCTTAATTTTCAGCATTTTTATCCAAATGTTGCACATGCTGTCGTATTTGGTGATTGTGTTTTTCTTGGCTCACTTGTGTCCTGTGCACTCAGGGCCACCGTAGAGAAAATTAGTCAAATCAGTTGGGAGCAGACAGCAAATGAGGGCAGAATGTGGAATTGTTGTTGCTGGCTTCAAGCCTCTTAAAATTAAACCATTTTGTCAAGCTACAAAACGTATAGCATGCTATAGGGGGTCATGGAAATGTGAGTGAAAGAGAAACAAAGACATCGAAAACCACTGGGAAAGTGTGCTTGATGCCCTCCATTACCAGTAGCTCAGGCCTGCAGTTGGACTGATGCATCTGCTTTCTTTGATAGCATCTCTCGCTTCCTGTTGTCGGTAAAGACTTGCTCTTGACTCTGATTCCTTCCATCTGGCTGTCAGAGCTGCACGCCATGTAACAGAATTGGACAAACAACCTACAACTGCCGTCATATTTCAAAAACACTAGCAGGGTGGGAAATATGCGAGATGAATGTGTGCATGTGCAGCATCTGTATTTTGATTTGTAGCCCTCACCTGTGTTGTTTCTGCTGAACAGGAAGGTTAAACGGTCCATTACACTTATTTCCTTCATCCTTGTTTAAATCAGTTAGCTGATCTCTTCCACGGTAGACCTGTTTTGCTTGTTCTAATTTGATAACACTGCATTTTATCTTTTGTTTTTTGTTTTTTTTCTTCTTTTTTTTGTGTGTGCCCACAGATCGAGAGGCGGCTGGAGCTGGTTCGTTTGGTGTCTCACAACACGCACAAGAGGCTGGTTTCCTGTCTGCAAGGTCAGCTGGGCACAGACACAGAGAAGAGACATGTAAGAGGCACCTTTTCTTTTTTTTTTCTCTGTCAGATTCATTCCATCATTTAGCTTTTTCATTTTCACTTTTTCATCCCATCATGTTAGCAACATGCCACACTTTGGATATGGCTTCATTTACAAGAGCATAATTAGGATGAATCACTGTGACAGCCATTCTGAACTAGGGCCCTGCTATCATGTGTTTTTCTTATGTAACACATAGATATGACAGAGACTCTCCTTCCAGCTTCACTATCACCATTTAGCAGACCCAGCCCAAAGGCCAATAAAACTGACGCAACTCTGAAGGAATCCCTGTTACGTTGTCATACTTTGATTACTTTTCTAAATTAAGTCATCTTGATGGTGCAGTGTTTGGCACTCCTGCAGGCAAAGTGAAATTAACAGATAAGCCAACGTGGTTGGATCAGTTGTCCTTAAACTGTTGGGTAGAGCCACAGCAGGCAGGGTATAGATAATGAAGGGGAGAAAAAAAATGAGCTGAAGCTAAGCTGAATTGGGGAGGGGGTTGTCTACATGTTTCCTTGATGCTGTAAGACCTGCCTTTATATCCCCCTTTTCGCAAATTCATATTTAAGTTAAATATATGACGTATTTGGTATTTTGGTGTTTGTGCAACTAATTTGAGTCTGATCCAAATCAGAAAAGAAAACATGTCAATGAAGTGAACGTTATTAAGTAGACTGAGCTTCTTTCTTTCTTTCTTTCTTTCTTTCTTTCTTTCTTTCTTTCTTTCATTCATTCATTCTTTCATTCATTCATTCATTCAGAAAAAGCTGCCCTTGACCGGGCTGTCCCAGACCATGCAGGAGGGCGGCAGTCAGCTTGGAGAAGAGAGTATGATTGGGTGAGTTTCCATCGAAAGACCAGTTTCAGCATCGTTTAAGTTGAAAATATCACCTTTAAATGGGAAAAATTGGTGAACAAGTAAGTGTTTATCAAGATCAGTGTAAAAGTATTTAAACAAAAATGGGATGTGGGATCTAGCTGAAGCTCTTTACATATGTTTTACTCGCTGTGAGGAAAAGTAGTGATAACTGGGATATTTGCATATATGTCTCTGTGCACGTGAACAGCAAGATGATGGATGTGTGTGGCGAAGCCGAGGGCAAGTTGGCTTTTGAGCTGCTGCAGCATGAAATGCAGATGGAGAAAGACATTCTGGATCCTCTCAACCAGCTGGCAGAGGTAAAAGCTCATGCATACAACCATTGATTGGCTTCTTCCTTTTAATCCCTTTAAAATCATGCGCTATATTTTAAAAACAAAGACCCAGCAGCAGAGACATCAAGCTGAACTTTGTGTTTGTACCAAATTCAACGATGCCTTTAGCACTGTTTTGGGTTCATTGCTATTCTGTATCTTTAAAATTGACACAAGGTTCTCACAGGAAAATTGCTCAAAAGTGCTCATTATACCTTTTGCAGTGCATGTGTAGTCATGTCGTTCTCATGGTTCCTCTTGTTTCTCTCACAGGTAGAGATTCCCAACATACTGAAACAGAGAAAGCAGCTTGCTAAGCTGGTTCTCGATTATGACTCTGCTAAAACACGGTACATTTCCACACAGCCTGATAACAATTTTTAAAAATTTTTTTTTAAATTAATAGTCTTTGTATGGCTCCAATCTTTCAAATGTTTCCACTAACATGGTTACTTAAATAATCCTTTGTTCTGCAGGTGGTTACAGGCGACCAAGTCCACCAATCCAGCCATGGCAGCTAAAGTTGACTCGCTCAAAGACGAGATGGATGAGGCACTCAATAAAGTAGAAATATGCAAGGTAGATTTCATGTCGACTCTTTCCCATGAGCCTTGCTGCATAAGGTTAGGATCATATTTGATGAACTGGCTGAACAAAGAAGGCTTTATAAGGGGGACTAAATCAGGACACTGATGCTATGCACATTTTTGGACCGAGTAATTAAAGCTCATAGCTTTGTCATATCCATGTCTTCGTGAACAGTTTCTCATTGTTTACCATACACGTCATTCTTTTGTCATTTCATGCAGGACCAGCTCTCTGCAGACTTGTACAACTTTGCTTCTAAAGAGGGAGACTATGCACGCTATTATGTGATGGTGAGTGCACCTCAGTTTACTGGTAATGGAAATGCAAATATGGAACGTTCCACTGTAACACAGTTACTAGGCGATGTGTGATAACCAAGTACTATGTTCACATTAGATTTGGTGTATGTGATTTTGTGTGTGTGTTTCTGTATAACAGTTATTAGAGACCCAGGCAGAGTACCACAGGAGGTCTCTGGCAGCTCTGGAAGTAGTTATACCCACCATCCAGACACAGCAAGGTGAACAATAAGACACAAAACATATTATTAAACATGTAAATAACATAAACACTTAAACTTTGCTTCTTCTTTTTGTTGCTGATCTGCTGGTTTAGGGTTAGAGAAATAAAGAGTGGCTTGTCATCCTGCTTAACAGTTCTCACAAAGGACTTCACATTATAATTGTTTATTTTGTGGTCCCTTAGCAGGGTGTGCTGTTATAAATTTTGCAGGTTTTCTGTCTTATTGGCTGATATATATCACAGACGGGGGGGGGGGGGGTGTGTGTGTGTGTGTGTGTGTGTGTGTGTGTCTGTTTATGACAAGAAGCTTTTATCTCATTTGCGAAGTGCACTGCTTATTGCAACATAGTGAAACGACTCACTACAATTACATCGTCACATTAGAGGGTTTTTTGGGGTTGTTTTTTTAAGTGTGTTTATATGAACCTTAGAATCAGCTTTCTGATGTAATCTGATTATAGATTTATTTGTTTGGCCCAGATTTATCCAGATGAAAGCCAGGATAACTGGATTTCAAGTTGGCTTTTTACATGTTTTCATGCACATGACAAAAGAGCAATCGTATCACACAAACATACCTGCAAAGACTTCATTTAAAAGTCTAAATAAAGAATGTGGTATTTCTGTTGTCAGCTGTAGAACTATATAAAAATTGTTGAAAGCCATGAAGTTAACTGCAGACAGTTAGTGAAACGAGTGCCAACGCAGAACATTGCCGATGCTTGTCTCACCTAGACTCCTGGATAGAGAAGCCGGCATTTGGCACGGCGCTGGAGGAGCATCTGAAAAGGACCAACCGTGAGATCGCTCTGCCGATTGAGGCCTGCGTCATGATGCTGCTTGAGACCGGCATGAAGGAGGAGGTACGGATGGAGAGATGGAAGAAGAAAATTGGAGACTTTGCTAAAGTAGGGCAAAGTTGAGGGTTAATTGACCAGAATTTGGATTAAATTTGTACCCATAAACCTCCTGTGTGTTTGAACTGGAAGGACATGTGGGTCATGTGGACTGCGTTTTAAAAATGATGGCATGTAAAGTCTGGAAACATCTGCAGCCAACTTGAGGTTAGCCAGTCTTTGTCCTGTGGGAATAAAACCTCTGTGTGTGTGTGTGCACACACAGGCATCTGTTACCCATTAGTATGATCGCTGTTGCACTCTTGAAATGAAACGGTATCGCTAGACTCCCCATGAAGTACGATTCAAGACATTTCTAAATGGAAACAAACCTCTTCTTGCTGTGCATCCGTCTGGTGCTCATCCTGAAAGAGTCACATCTCTGTTGGTAGCAAAAGCATTTCTCTTTACTTTTGCAGACATTCAGTACTCGATTGCATTACTTCTTCTTTTGTGTTACCAACCCAGACTCACTTCTTTAATTTTAGGAGAGAAACAGCCTCCTGTAACCAGGCACTGCTGTGACCTTGCTCTCCCTTATTTTCTTTTCAGGGTCTATTTAGAATTGCTGCTGGAGCTTCAAAATTGAAAAAGTTGAAAGCAGCGCTGGACTGCTCCACCTCACAGCTCGAGGGCTTCTACTCTGATCCCCATGCCGTGGCTGGTACTACTTCTACAAATCCACAGAAAGTAAAAACATCAGCTCCAGGTCTTTGTCTCATGGCATATATTTTGTTTTTGATACACAGGAGCTCTCAAGTCCTACCTCAGGGAACTTCCTGAACCTCTAATGACATTTAGCCTTTATGATGAGTGGATACAGGCCTCCAAGTAAGACACTGCACACAAAGACACGACTCCTGTAATGTCCTGTAAAACACTTGTGCAGCACTAATAAACTTTAGATACATGTGAAGTATGTTTGCAGTAAATGTTGTTAATGTTTCAGTACCTTAGACTCTGACAAAAGACTTCAGGCCTTGTGGGTGACATGTGACCATTTGCCAAAGGCCCACAAAGCCAACTTCAGGTACTCTATATTACTCTCTTTTAATTACTATCATTTATGCCAGCCTTATTATTATTTTTTTTTTAATAACGCTGTTTTTTTTGGTTTGTTTTTTAAATGTAACCTTTTTTGTACATGTTTATTCATGTGAGGAATTCACCAGATTTTGAGCCATCCCTCATTTCTTTATATATTGCCAGAAAAATGGAAAATTGGAGCTGTAATTAGCAAAAGATAAAGATATCATCATTATTCTTGAACAGTTCAGTCTGTGCTCTCTGAGAGTTCTTTTTTTTTTTGCCATTAAGTAGTCTTCAGGAATACTTCTTGAAGGACATTCAAAGCTCTTCTTTTGATGCTGGCTGCCTTTTGTTCTGTTCTGTCAACATGATGTCTGTGTTGAGGTCCAGGCTCTGGAGAGATCAGTCCATAGTTACACTGTGTTTGTTCTATCCAGGTGTGGTTTTCCTGCATTGGCAGCAGGTTTGAGATGATTGTTATACGGAAAAATGAAGCCATTGGCATTTGGGCACTTTTCAGATGGTATTGCATGTTGGATCAAATCTGACAGTGCTTTTTTTTTTTTTTTTTTTTTTTTTTTTTTTTTTGTATTCATAATTCAATTTTGGCAAGATCTCAAACACCACAGGCTAAAATGCGGGGCCCCAAACCACAACAGATTTTGCAGTGGATTTTTAAGTGAATTTCTTGTATAATTTGGCATACCTCCACATATTCCTCCAGTTTGCCTTCTTTAAGCTTCTTGAAACCCACCCCACTTCCACTGAGACCATTTCTGATGAGACTTTAATGGACAGAAGGTGAATCAAATGAATGGGACAGATGCATCACTCAGATGCTGCATCAGGTCTAAAAACTCTGCTGGATTTTTTTTTAAGTAAATAGCTCTTTGAGAATCATCTTTTTGGTTAAACAATGGGAATAAATTGCCTTTTCAAAAGGCTGCTGGTAACAAATTGGCTCTACAGTTACAGCTTCTTTGTTAGGTGCAAACACAAAAGTGGTTGTTTCTGTGAGTTAAACACCTTCTTTATTTCCCCTTTTTTCTATGTCAGACTGGTTCAGGAGTCAGAGTTAAGTGGTTTAATACGCTTAACAAAAAAATGAGTGGAAAAAATCGCAACATTAATTTAAAAAATGACAAGAACATCTGGCTCCTTGAGAGCAAAATACTTAGAAATGAGGGTTGGCTCAAGACTTTTGCACAGCACTGTAGATGGAAAAATAGGTGCGTATTTCACCACTGTACCAGATGTTACTTTGATGCTCTAGTAAACCAGTTTACTGGTTGAGCCTCTCAGGCCACATTCACAGCAAGGCCGTAACTTTCTCGAGGAGTCAGAAACCCACTAGGTTGGGGACAGTGTATGATTAAAGGTGGGAAAAATATTTTGGAGATATTTTTGTTTTTTAAGGCAGTTTGTGTCTCCGTTGCAGGTATCTGGTGAAGTTCTTGGCTAAACTGGCTCAGGACAGTGATGTTAATAAAATGACTCCCAGCAACATCGCAATAGTCCTGGGGCCTAACCTGCTGTGGTCGAAGACCGAAGGGTGAGCATGTCGTGGACGGTTCACCTCACTTTTATGTCATCATTCTGAAATGCAAAGCGCGTCGTTCTCTTAGGCTGACTGACCTTCCTCCCGTTCTTATCTCCGTCTCTGTGCTCGTACTCAGGACGCTGGCAGAGATGGCAGCAGCTACATCTGTGCATGTACTTGCCATCATTGAGCCTATTATCCAACACGCTGACTGGTTCTTCCCTGAAGGTGAAACACTGTTGTTGTATTTGCAATAATTCTCCTTCTCTCTGTCTGTTGTCTGCTGTTTGGCGTGCTTATTCTCGATGATATAATCTACCTGAACCTTTGCAGCGTGTGGTAATGCGTCCGTTGAGTGCTGCTGCAAAAGATAACATTTGCATAAATTTCCATTGTTGATTTGTGGAGTTTGCCAGCACTTAGTTTTCATGCAACAATGTTAACGCGCAGGCTCATCCTCTGTGGGTTGACAGTGGGTACTTTGAAAAATGTTGAAGCTCATTAAATTGATGAATAGTAGCTGAAACGGTTTCTCTCCACATTAGCCAGCAAGGCTAAGAGTCTGTAGCCATGCTCGTGGCTCTGTAGGATGTGGCTGAAGCTCAGAGCACATTGTTAACCAAATTCTAAAATTAGCATGCTTGTGCTGATTTTGCGATGATAATTTTACCCAGTTCACTATCAAAGCTCAGCTTTAAGTTGTTATGATGATGAAATCCACAACTATTATTCAGTTGTGGTTTCTATAATGAATTTACTCTGTAACAGCTGAGCAGAGGGTGCATTTTTAAAATAACTTTACTGAGCCTTAAAGAAAAGGATGCAGGTATCTGCTAGTCCTCAATTTTGCTAACTTGAGTGACTAATCTGGACCTTTTGACTCTAGTTTTGAGTATTTTTAATTAAATTATCTGGAGAAAAAAGGCTTATTGTGTGTTACTCTAGTTTCAGTGAGGGAAATTGTAGTATTCTGTTTGTGTGTTGGTTGGCACTTATTAGCTGGTAGGTGTATAAGTTATACACCTGTACGGTCTCCTAGAGTCAGCTGATTATAGCACACTCTACTGTCTCTTGAAAATATCATGGCTCCAAGTGGCCAGTGAGTGATGTCACAGAGGCTTTGTGCATCTTTTGTATACAGTCTTCTTGCAAGCTGTAGGTCATTTTTAATTTGCTTAATTTGCTTCTGTCCTCCAGAGGTGGACTTCAACGTGTCAGGCATGTTCTCCTTGCCCAGCCATCCACCCACCCCGGACCCCGAACCTATCCTGGACAGGAAACGCCCCGGCAGCATGGGGCAGGACGGGGACAGTCACACCCCTCGTAAAGACAGGTACCTGTCTCGTCCCAACCTCAGCCTCAGCCTGCCCCTCACCCTGCCGTCCCGTCCCAAGACACTGAGCAGGCAGGAGTCGAGGGGCCCAGCGGTGTCGGCCCTTTATGTCGTGGCCAACGAGTCCATCACGGTCACTGAAACGCCCACTGAAGATCTGCCCAGTCCAGACTTCAAGGCTGTGCCGCAGTCTAACGTAGATCCCACGAATCCAGTTACTAATAAGTGAAATAAGGGAAATGATGCCTTGTGTGATTTGTGCACTACATTTGTTGTGTTTTAAGCTAATCAGTTATATTTTGCTGAGATTCGTCCGTAACATGACCATAACATTTATGAAACACAAAGCCTTTTTAATAATGTTTGGGAATCCATTTATGTCTCAAGTTTTTATTTCTCTTGTGTTACTGTTGTGTACTCTTGTGTTATCTCCTTAATTTCCAATTAAAGCTTAGGTTGCACTGTAGGTTGCTGGTTTTATGTTTTGCGTGGGCTTGCATTTTTGTCATCTTTTTTTTTTTTCCTCTATTTCACCTGTCGCCGCATTAATGTTGCAGTTCAAAGTTGTTCTATTTTAAAGGTCACTCATGTGGTTTTATGTCCTCTTTGGGTTCTTCTTTCTGAACCGGTTTCGTTCCACTCAGGAAGTGGCGTCTCTTTCTGTCTCGACATCACAACATCTCTCACTGCTCTCGCTGGGTTCTTTCGAGGGGGTTTTTGTTTGTCGTTTTTGTTTACTTCTGTCTCTGAGTCTCTTGCTCCTTCACTCTTGTCTGATGGCCTGTGGTTTGCCCTCCTGAACACTCTCCCCTCTCCCCCCCTCCCTAGCCCTGTTAACAAACAGCCGGAGCCCACTCCTCGCAGAACCAGCGTCTTAAATAGAAAGCAGTCACCACTAACCTCACCCACCTTCCAACCCCCATTACCCCCTCTGGAAGCCGGGACTCCTACACAGCTCGAACCCCATCCTCCTCCTCCTCCTTCAGAGGCTGAGCAGCCTGGCTTGAGTGTTGCTGGCGGTGGTGGTGGTGGTGGTGGTGGTCTGGTTGGTGGGGTCCAGGTAGCCACAGTGCAACATCAGGTTGTAACCCAGCTCAGCACAGAGGAGAGCAGGTAAGGAGTGAGCTGAGGTAGCACCGGTACTCCACTGCAGCCAATCATCCGATCCGGAGCTCGCCACCCTTTGTTTGCCATGTATTTGATTAATTTGATTTACTGGACGTCACAAAAAAATCATGAGCATATAAATGTCTATGTCTGCAAGTATTAAATCTGCTTCATTAATTAATAATGTAAATAAATGAAAAACACTGTTATGCTTTGCACAACTTTCCCCCTGCCCTCTGTTTGTGATGATCAACAGAACTCTCGGTTTCTGTTTATAAAGAGAAGCTGTCTTTCCTTCCTGTCTGCTCGTCTGTTTGGTGGTTTAACAACTTTGAAGCTTTGAAGACTTTGTTTTTATGCATGTGTCTCATTACTGAACACTTGTTCCGTCCGCTGAATGGACTTCTTTCATGATTTTTGCATCCCGTGCTTTCTTCGTGCGTTTATCGATCCTTTTGAGTCATTCTTTCTGTAATAACCTAATCAAGTATAATTATTCTTTGAATGGAAAGGTGTGCAGTTGGTTTTATGCATGAGCACTGGTGCCGCACTTGATCCTTGAATGTTAAGGGTGTATGACACGGAAATGGATTAATAATTGGAACTGTGGTGTTTTCACAGCCCGGCCCGTGAGCACATGTCCACCCCGCCTCCGCAGAGGAATGGTTCAGCGGTCCATCTTGCTGTAGGAACCCCACACCCTCAGGGAAGCTCCAAAGGGCCTAGTCCACACATGGTCCGCAGAGGTGAGGAAATCTAAATCTGTTATTTTAGTGGTTTAATATAGCAAATGAGATTTAATAAGTACGTTTTCCTCTGAAGGCACCAAGAAGCAAGCCCCAGCCCCACCCAAACAGGCCAGCCCGTTTGCCTCTCAGCTCAGTAACACCCAAGCACCCGGTTCCCCGCAGCACCCACCCATCACGCCCCGTCGTGTCCACAGCAAAGATGCCCTAATCCAAGCTCCGAGCCATCCACCCCCACAGCCGCCTACACCCCAACAAGCCCAGGGAGAGTCAGAGCACTCTCCCCCTAGCAGTCCCACCCCTCCTGACACTCCGCCGCTCTTCCACTCCGGATCTCTCCCTCGACCCTCGAGGCCAGCTCCAAAACCGAAACCCCGTCCCAGCATGCCACCGCCTCCGCAACCGGCAGCAAATGACAGCGGCAATGGCATGTGCAACTCGGCCTCAAAGATCATAACAGGTAAACCAGTCTGTGTCTCAGTTTCTTTTTTTTGTGTAAAATTAATATACTATACTAAAAATATTTTATACTAAAATACAAATACAAAGGTTTGCATCATCGACTTAAATGGTGTCAGCAATACAGTGTGGCAGAAATCAACTACTGCAACAAAAACATTGCTAAAATAAGTTGTATGTGTACATACAAAGCTTTAACCTCTAAACAGAGTAATCGTTGATTTGGCCACTTTTGCAGTGCAGTGGTTGCAAAGATGTGATTTTTTTTTTTTTTTTTAATATATTTTTTTAAATTTATTAATTTATTTTTTGTTAACTTTAAAAACTCTACTTAAGGGTCGTGCATTCGAAGAGCTACCAAGAAAAAAAATACAAGAGTACAGAAGAATATGCAAATTAAATAACAGTACGGTGATAAATTTGATGCGACCCCAGATAATAAACCACATAATAAATCATTAATCTGAAATGATCATGTAAATAACTGTAATGCAGTTGTAAAATGGATTTCAATGGGATCATGAATTATAATGGTGTGAAAGTGGGAAGTAAAACTACAGTGCAGTACAAATATTGAAATGTATATCTGCTAAAATGACCTCCGAGTAATGGTGAAGTATCATTTTAACTTAACATCTGACCACTTCCACCATGGTTACACTCCACCTTTGAAAACAATATAGATAAAAGGCAATTGTTGTTTATTCAGACAAGTTTTTGAAGGAAGTTACCAGATCTACTGAAGAATAGAAGCTTTCTTTGGTGTGGGTTTTGTTTAAATGATTTTCTTTGTGCAGACATTCCCATTATTGAACTCACTCACTTGCTGGCCGTCTGCTGGTACTATATTCACTTCTGTTATTGAGTGATTTCAGCTTCTTCTCGGAGCAGTGCTATATTTAGCTCAGTGGCTTTTGGTTTCACTGTCTCATTTTTGGCTCACACACTTACAAAAGAGCTGTGGTGATCTGATGCATGACGGCATATGTGTAAATATTGCAGATGTCTGAGCTGCGGGCCTGCCTGTAAGATGAGCTTTGTAAGGCAGGTAATGGTAAGGATCTGATTGGCTGATGCATTAACCTCGGTCTGTGTCTACTGCATGTGCATCTGTCTGGGGGAGAGAAAAGTGGCGTGTGTGGGCGTGCACATATACATTTATATGTAGGCTTGGTGCTTTTGTCCTAGGCTTTAGCTATGCTTTGCAACAACACTAACATGCTTGCAATTTTTTGTATTTGTGGTTACTAACACACAGAGAGAGTGTGTGTGTGAACAGATTTTTATTTTATTTATTTTATTTTTTTAAATAATTTGCATTGCATTTAAAGATTAACACACCAAGGAAACTCTCATGACTGCCACACCAACTAAAAAGAGTTACTCAAGTAGTGCTGGTTAGAATAGATTTATTTATGAGAGCAATCCTTGGTGTCTTGCTGTGTGTGCGTGTTTGTATGTGTGAGTGTGAGCTCCCCGGTCTAAAACTGTGTGTCTATATATGGTTTGGTTTATTGATTTGTTTGCTGATTGGTTCCCTTCAACATCCTTTCCAGAAGGAGGCCTGGTTCTAAAGGGGATTGGAAGAGCCATCATTCCTGAGGTGATTGAGGACGAAGAACGGGAAAGCTCTGCTGGTCAAGAGCCTGCCACCGCCACTACTACCACTAACACCCCCCCAGCCCTGAACCCAGACCCCAGCATCCAGACAGAGAGCACCGCTTTTTAAAGTCTGGGCTTGACTGTTTATGATCAAACATAAGACGGGGTAACTCAAAATGAAATCACTCCGGCTCTTCAAGTACCGCTCACATGATGTCAGAGTGTCGCTGGAAACGAATGGCTGCCTTTTCCTCTGCTATACTGACTCACACCAGAAACCTCATCTTAAGTTAGTCGTTCAGACCACAAGGGCCCTGTCCAGCTATCACTTTCCACATTAGACTGCACATTAAACGGTTTGCTCCACATACTGCTTGGGTATTCTCTGATTGGACTGCAGGGCCTTGTGAGGAACAAGGCTAGCGGGGCTTTAACATAAAACCTCAGCAATATCGCAGCTGAATATCGCAGCTGGCTTCAGAATGCTGGTAAAGTTAATCTTTTTATTTTTTTAAAACTATTACTATTAAATCTTCAATTATGCAAACGCTTCTTTAAAATGTGAATCTGGTTTTACCACATAAACCCAAATAAAGAAAAATTTTCAGTGAGTAAATAATTCCCTCATGTCCACAGCAATACTATGAAGGACCAAAGGAAATGACTGTTAGTCAAAGCAAACTGAGTTCAAATGTTGAGCCATTGTTATGGTTGCTAATGACCAAATATTTTAGTGTGAGTGCAATATAACAGTTTCTCTTCCACTGCTGTCCCATCCCAGCGTGCACACACTGCCATTTATTAGTTATTCAGGGCAGTTTTCAGTTAGAATTTTCTTTGATTTCCATGGACCTGATTCACAAAGCTGACAAAAATATAACTGATTTTTCTATCACACTCAAAAGCTATGACCAAACTCCAGCATGTGATTAAAATTTGTAGAATTTTTTTTTTACTATGGCTCATTAGCTTTGCCTTATTTTCAGCTTTTTTTTTTCTTTTCTTGTTTTGGTTGTTTAAGCATTTTTATGGTGGTTCTTCTGCACAAAATGCACTGCGCAATGCGTTTTTGATCTAAATAAAGATTGTTCAACAGTTTTTATCTTGAATGATTTTTTTATGCCAAATATTATTGCTCATAAATGGTCTCTTCTTTGGGAAAAGAAAAAAACAAGTTGCCTGCACTCTGTCCATTACTTGAGGGGTTTTTTGTTGTTGTTTTTTAAGCAACAATTGACATGACATTTTTATATGATTCGTATTACAAAAAGTCAACCACATTTTTATCATTTTTAAGATAAAACTTTACAAAGAGTGAAAAAATAAAACATTCAAATCTCTACAGTCTTTCATGCAGCCCATTCTTTGTCCATTTACTGCCCATCAAGCCCAGTAACCAATGATAAAGGCGGTTACAGAGAGGCAAATGATGAGGTTTGCATTAACAATGAGTTGTAGACGGGGCTTTTCCTCCAGAGAACAGATCGTTTGTTCAGGTGCAGGAAGCGGAGCGGGATCATCTTCCTTGTTCCGTCTCTCCATCCCACACAGCCAGTAGAGGGCAGACATCAGCTTGGACTGACTGCGTACACTGCTGGCAGACGATGCTGAATCTAAAGGGTTAAAAGGAGAGAGGGAGGGGAAAAATAACTTGGAATTGTCTCATAGATGCGTTGAGCTGAAGAGTTGCCAAATGGAAAAGAGAGCAGGACAGAGACCCACCTTTCCTGTGATGACACGCGTTTCCATTGCTGCTTCCCACCTCTCTCCCAGTGGCTCCCACATCATCAGTCTGAATAGCAATTACATCTAATGTTGTGCTGCTTTGCTCTGATGCAAACACCTGCTCTCGAGGCTTCACTGGGTCGAGTCTTGTGAACCATGTGAGTCGACTAATCTGTTTTGTTTTTTTTTGTTTTTTTAAAGAAACAAAAGTGACAGTCAAACTTTCTGAGAGTTAAAGAAATCTATGTATTGTAGAGAGGTGCGACTTACACTACATATGTTGAAATGTTCTCTTCAGACTTTAAAAGGTAGTTAACAAGACAGTCTCATTATAAATGTACCCTGTGGTATTATTGACACCTAGTGGTGCTACAGAGTGATGTTGTGAGCTGATTCTTGTAATGTTTCCATCCATCCATTGCTCATGTCTTAGCAAAAGTGTGTTTAAAGACAGTCGGCATTTTCTTGAAAGTTAACAGTGGCTTCACCTGCTCTGGTTTTGGTTCCTCTGTAGCCAAGCTCACTACAACCACCACAACGAGGGTAATGAAGGACAGCAACATGGAGAAGTAGAGGTAATGAACATATTTTAACACTGCAGGTCTGTCGTCCTCTTCATAGCACAGTGGAGCAGGGTAGATGAAGTCCAGTAACATACGAATACACCCGACCACAAGGCCAATAGCCAGGCCCCAGAAAGCACCCTGCACCAGGGAGGGAGTCAAACATCAGCATTATACACAGTGTAATGGAACATGAATATACACTCAACGGCCACTTTATTAGCTACACCTCACTAATGCTGGGTTGGACCTGCTTTTTGCCTTCAGAACTTAACTTCTTTAGGGCATAGATTCAACAAGTTGCTGGAAGCATGCCACACCAAACAGCAACTGTGCCAAGTCACTTAAATTTCCTTATTGTCACATTCAAGTTCAGCAAGTCGTTTTGAACACGTCTGTCAGTCACATGGCAGCATTTAGTTGTTGCCATGTGAATGGCTGTTTAGATATTTGCAGTAGCGAGAAGTTGAACAGGTGTGCCTAATAAAGTGACCAGCAGGTGTATTTTCCATGAATTACTTGATCAATCGCAAGAACATTCTGAAGAAGAAGAAAAAACATCTTGCCTTCTCATTGGTCCTCTTCCAAAAGCAGCCCATGAGGAAGATGATGGAGACGGGGGGCTGGAGGTAAGTGCTGATGGACTGGATGTAGATGAAGAGCTGGCCACCCTGACTGGCCTGGACGACTGGAATCCACAAAACGGACACCACAACCAACACAAGCACAAACACTCTGCAGCACACACATCAAACCATAAAACGGGCGTTATGCAATAATAATGAGGTTCTGCAATGCACAGATTTGACAAAGAGCAGAAAACTAAAGGCGCTGGAATCTAAACGACACAATGCATTTAGCCATTATTGAGTAAAGTTTGGTGGATGAGCTCACATAAAGGGCCTTATACAAAGCTTTCTCAGACAGGACCACTTTAATTAAAGTAGGTTGTTATTTCCATCTGCAGTAATTCATATATGAGCTCTCTTATGGGATCACCCCACTCTTTCATTTTGCATGCATGCAAAGCTGGAGGCGGGGAGAGCAGCATCAAAACGCCTCTTACAGAACAGAGCAGGCATCAAAGACCACAAACATTACATTCATTAAGTCAGACAACATAAAAAGAAGGAGCTGAGGTGGGGGTGGGATTCAAAATAGCTTGCAGAGGCAGCAGCAGCAACTTAAACAGTGTCCCCTGTGTGAGATTTGTTGATTGAATCATAAAAGTTTACGCAGGTTGGCATTAACAAGATCGACTTACTGAACTAATACTATGCTCAGTTTTCCAAATGTAGATGCTCTAAGTGAGAATAAAGTGCAGAAATGCTTTTCTGCTCAAACTTCAGTCTCAGCATACGATATACATGCTGCATGTTTTATATCAGAATGCCCTGACGCGGTCACATACCTGCCCACAATCATGAGCTCCCATTCAGAAGCACGGGATCTGAAACTCTTCCACAGGTCCATGGTAAAAATGGTGCTGGCACTGTTAAAGATGGAGGTCAGCGAAGACATGAGAGCAGCAATCATCACAGCCATCATCAAGCCCCGCAGTCCTGGGAGGAAAGACGCACAGTTACCATAAAAGACTCGTCACGTAAAGCATGAAGCAGGAAACGAGGTGCAGCAGAAAGAGTCTCTCACCTGCAGGAAGAAGCTCCATGACCAGTTTGGCATAAGCGATGTCTGAACACCCCACTGGATTGCCACAAATCTCTCTGCACACCTCAGGTTCTGCACAAGCCACTTCGTCTATGCACAGTAGAAACACACCCGCGTCAGTCAAACTCAAATATCCACAATATTTTTGTTTAGTGTTACCTAAATACCTCACACACTTTCAGCACCATTATGGAGGCTAATGTTATAATATGCAGTAAGGTCAAACACAGTATTCCAGCTGCAGCCTACAGTTCTCACTGTACCTGTGTAAAGTATCCTGCTGATCATGCCGGGGATCATGATGGCAAAGAAGGGCAGAACTTTGAGGTACGCAGCCAGCAGGGAGCCTCCTTTTGCATGGGTCAGGGTCTTGGCAGCCAGAGAGCGCTGCACAATGACCTGCAGAGAGTCCCGAATTAAAAGCTGACCAATAAATATATATATAAATATATATATGTAAAGCAGGTAACTACATATCTGTGTAATGTAAGGCAGAATGGAACCACAAAGCTTACTGCTATCACTCAGGAATTTGTAAGATATCAGGGGCTAAACAGATGCTGCTGTGTATCTGGAAAGACTGTAAATGCTAATTAAAACTAACCGTGCTTTTTCTTATCTCACTTCAGTTGGACCTTTGAAACATACCAGCTTCTTTACGGAGTAATTCTCAAGATGAGGATTTTCAGATTAAAACTCTCTGAGTACTCCAGAGAAAATTTTTAATCGGCGTCAACAAGATGTAAAAGCTCTAAGTTGTACTTTTATATTTTATAGATGAAAGATCTCTTGACATCTTACATCTTAAATTCATTTTTAATGCTCATGTTGGTAAATCAGGGCTCACGAGCTCTGAACTGCCTTCACTGTAGAAACGAGGTTTGCCTATGAAGCCTTTGATTTGAACTCTACCGATTAAACACTCTCTGCGGGGAAAGCTTCCTTTCATAACTTTAACTTTCATAACTTTAGCTTTGAAAATCACTGACCTGATCAGAGCACCAGTACCACATGGAGGGGATGGACATGCCGACAATAACACCAGGCCAGGGGAGGTCAGAAGTCACTGGATCTCTGAATATGTGGAAAGCATCTTCTCGGGGGATGCCACAGGTCGAGTTGGGTACACGAATTGATGGGATGGCTTTGCCGTAACCCTCCATGAAAGCATTCCAGCCTCCAACCTCCACAAAACCTACACATAGAGACAAAATAGTCAGATCAGCTGGATCATAAAGGGTTGGAAACTGGAAGCTGTGATTTTCACTCATATCCTCACTTACTGAAGCCCATGAGGGTCAGAGCTCCTGCCAGCATGATAGCAGTCTGAGCTGCATCTGTATAGATAACTGCAGCCAGACCACCTGTGAACAGCAAACAGCACATTATGCACTTCTATAAGCTGGTAAAATACAGAACAGCCAACATGAGCGGGACTGTAGCTCACCTGCTACAGTATAGATAGCAGTGACTAACAGCAGCAGCACCACAGCCAGGTAGATGTTCCATTGTAAGGCAAGCTGAATGAACAGGGCACCTGCATACATGTCCACCTGGCCAAAAACACACATAGGTTTATGCTAAGAAACTAGAAAGAAATTAACCCAGATAAAGCTTCACAAAATAAATCACTATTGTGGATTATAGCCTACCGATATTTTTGTAAAGATGTAAATAAATAAGGAAAGGATGGCTATAAACAACTGAGTTCTTCTACCACCAAACCGCCTCTGCAGATACTCTGGCATCGTTGTCACCTGTAGAAGAAATAAGGTCAAGCCCTATGAGATCACGGGGGAATAAATGACCAAAATCATGCATGCAACAACTTATTGTTTCTTTTGTTCAGAGTGTGTGTAGAAAACTCACACCAGAGGCAATATAAATGGGCAGGAAGAGCCATCCCAGCAGCAGTACCATCATCATACCCTGTCAGTTAACAAATATCAGCACCATCAAGAATTTAAACCTATTAATATTTCATATCAAAGTTCTTTTTGACAGATTATTTTCTTACATTCCACTCGTATGCAATGGCACCAATTCCCGCTGCGGCTCCTGACCCTGCCAGGCCGATGAAATGTCCACTGCCAATGTTACTGGCGAACAGCGAAGCACCCACCTAAATATAGATGAGAGTCC